CTATTGATTAATTGATCTTACCCGCATAAACAATAACCATAAGATGCGCCTAACCGCCAATTCGGGATATCATCCCAATTTTATGTGGTATGGTCGCACCATCTAAGATATCGTCAGTATATGGTACACGTTTATTAGGGTAGTTGGTTAATTAATGGCACAAAGAAATGTGGAAAATATTGCGATGTAATCAATTATTATTTTGCACGTAAATCGAATCAGAAGTAACAGTCATGTGAAATGCTAGCTTCTAGCAATGTTTGCAACATAATTTAGATACAAATCCCTGCTACCGAATTGTATTTTGTTTTCTCCGACCATGTCTCCCTCTGAGTATTTTCTAATATCCATAATATTTCGACAGTGAGCATTCATAAGGGCGTATACGCGATGATCGATTCTCTTCATCGATTTTCTCTTTTGTTAATAACTCGCTAGATTTAACGTTTGTCGGTGCGTTTGTTGTTGCTTTTGAAAGCCAATACAACCTATAACAACTCTACATTGAACAAATTCTACAAAATTGTTTCGCTTAGCTGTAGCAATGCGAAGAGAAAAACTATGAAGAGAATCGATCATCTCGTATACGCCCTTATGCATGCTCACTGTCGATTTTACATATCTCTACCGAGTATTCATAAGGGCGTATGCCGCAAAGGTATGCGATGGCTTCTTTCGCAAATATCCAAAGTCTATCTATGCTAGATACCAATCCTATTGGATAGAGGACCTCTTACATACTCGACAAAATCATCGTGGGGATTTGCATTGGCGAATTGTCAATATCTATCTATCTATCAAGCATATCTAGATAAACATTTCAAAAGGTCCTATCTGCATTGATCGATTTTCTTCATCGACTTTCTCTTTCGTCAATAACTCAGCTGCAAAACCTTTCCCTGTTGTATTTGATGTTTTGGATGGTAGATAAGAACCTCCTTTATCAAACTATGTGGTAAAATTAGCGCGAAATCTGTTTGCATAGCAGTGGTTATCAAAAGAGAAAGTCGATCAAAGCAGATAGGACCATTTGAAATGTTCATCGAGATATTATCGGTACAGTTGAAAACCGGAAAACCTCACATACGACATTCGATTTTACTCTAGTTATGTACGTTAAACATAGTGTCGGACATGGTGCGCTACATTCGCACAATGATGCGCTATAATGCGCACTCTGTCCGACGATATGTTTAACGTACAGAACGAGAGTAAAATCGAATGTCGTGTGTGAGGTTTTCCCGATCGACAATATTTGCGACCAATTTGAGGTCTCCACTCCTGTTGATAAGTAAAGAGTGGAGACGGTGTAAACGTGTCAAATCAATGAAGAAGAAGAACAAGATGTTGTCCGTAGTCTCTTGTCCAGCGGTCCCGGCTGGGGTCCGAGTAACCATAGGAAAGATCATGTATCCAATTCCGGTAGGACCTTGGTCGTATCTTGACAGGGAAAAGGGGCTCCCATCTTCGAACGGAGCTCGTCGAGCGTTCTGTTGCCTCGAATTCGGCCGGTACAAAACGCAGAGGTACGCAGTGAGTGAAGTGGTTAAACGTTAAACCAAGTTGGAGCAATACCTAGGAAAGGCATATTTGATGGAAGCTCAAGAAGCTGGAGAGATTTTGTTTTACTATCGGACAGGTTGTAACGCTGTGCGTTTAATTCCAAATGAGTTGGTGATAAATATTGTGGGAAAAGATTTGAATTTGTAAATATTATGGATAAGTTGTATTCTAAGAGGAAGAGGAGACAACTGGCTTCTTTTTGTCTGTGGCGTGTTCTTCTTCTCTCGCAAAAACGACCGCGCAAAAACTATTTGCAAACTAAAATACAAGAAAATAGATTCCCTGTTGTAAAAATTGGAAATTAGATTCATAAAAATCCCCCTATTGTTTTCTCTTCCTCTTAGGTTGTATTCTATAAGCTGTAAATATTAGCGAAGACAACATATCAAGAAGTCTGGCAACTCTACCATTTTCTCATACGACCGCTATGAGACGGGCACCTTCGCTCGAGTGCAGCGCTACTGTATCTGTCGCATGGATTCTGGCAGAGTTGCCAGTCTTATTGATTTGATGTGTTCGATATTAGGTAACATTAACATGTGTTGTCATACACGTTGTAGTCTTATGCGAAGAAGCTGGTTGGTGTCGGAGCTATATTTACGTTTAGCTTTGTAGACACATTTGTAAGGTTTTATAGCAAGCTAGCGTTTTTTTTATAGAATAACTAGCTGAGTATGCCCGGCCTTGCTCGGGATTCAATATTAGCTTGAGTTTATACGCCAATTAAAAAAAAACATGCTATATTGTACGTAGACCCCCGCTTATCTAAGGGGCTACCCCCTAAGACCTCCACATGGTTCCATTTGCTTGATTAGTTCTCGAGTTATGCAGAAATTTCTGATTCATTTATATGTCTCGACTCGAACCATCATAAGAACCTTTCCCTGGCCCAAAAACCCCTGCATACAAATGTTCACGCCGATCGGTGCAGTAGTTTCCGAGTCTATAAGGGTCAGACAGATAGACAGAAATTCATTTTTATATATATAGATAGATAAATAATATGGCTAAAGAGACTCAAAAATAAGATGGCTATTCGAAACATGTTTTCACGCCATATGCGATCTTTTTACCTTAAAGAAAACCAGTGGTTTCTTGGGGAACAAACCATCTAATCTCGGGGGAGGTTGTTCATTGAAACTTCCGGTCCGCTTCGTAGCATAGTGCTTGCTAAGAGGTGCCAGGTGGTAACCCACTGATTATCTGACGATCGGCCAAATTTGGAAGACGTCTGCATTGAATTGTCTCACATTGTAATATTCCGTCCACTATATCACAATCAATTGCGAGTAGCTGAGTGGAATGGAGACAAGGAAGCATTTGGTACAGGACCAAGTCTCTCCCGGCTGGCGCCAAAACAATTAACCTGGAAGCAACTGGATCAAGTTGTCATGGGGCACGACATGATCCTGTTGCATGACTTGGAGCAGTTGCAATCGAGGAAGGGAGGGGGGGGGGGGGGTTGGTGCTAATGTTTGATTTGTTTTTGTATAATTTCAGGTGTTAAGGTGGCTCGCTGCCTCTGGATAGTGGGTTTGACGGTGGTTCAGCAAGAATAATATTGAGACATACGGGAATGCAACAAACGTGTCAAATTAACTGCATTGGTAACGAAAACACAGAGAAGCGTACACCTGATGTCACACACTAAGGTGATGGTAATAAGGTCGGTGATACTATGACATTTACACAAAAGCGGAGATCAAATCAGATTGGTCAACGTACCAAAATTCGAAACTTCGATTGGAACGTGGAATCTGTGCAGCAACAGTGGAGAACACTCAAAAGCTGCAGGTTTCATCAACCGCTGCCTGCGGTATAAAATTTGTGGCTGGTGGCCTCACAAATGGATCTCAGATGTAAATGTTATCAGAAAATGATAGCAATAGAAACGAAGTCTGCTGGCAAGTTTTTGATTATGAATTAAATCCGCCAGAACATCGCAGCAAAGGCAAATACTAAGGCGGCGGAGCGTCAACAAGGAAATTAAGCAAGCCGATAGGAATTTGACCTGGGCCCAGGTAAAGCAGCTGCCCAGAATGGAAGTCTTTCACGTTGGCCCTGTGCACCTCTGGAAGTTCCCAGGTATTTTAGTACGACGACGATGGACGTTGCTCCTTGGAACGGAATGAAAGCGAACAAACCTGATGTTGCACAACAAGCCGGCGTTTTTTTTTCAGCAAAACAACAAAATCCTCTATCTCTCTTCTTTATTCTTTTAATCTCTTACTATCCCCTAATCGGACGCTAGTGGGACCAAAAAGCCTGCTAGTGAAAGGAAAGTCGTTATGCTATACGGTCTAGCATAGGCCACGACTAAATTTTCGTAGGTTCATGCCTGGCTTAAGTGCAGATCGGTAGGCAGCAGCCTGCCAGGGTGTGAACTGAGCAATAACAATAATAACAATAACAACAAACCATCTAATCTCGTCCATTTCACTAATCGGCTGAAAAGCATATGTGTGTGTTGCAAGGTGTGTTGCGGTTTTTAAGTTAGTAAAGTGGACTCTGTGAAATTAATCTACGTATTTGAAGGTGATTAGTTTTAAAAGAAATGGAATAAGCTTCCCTTAGCTCAGTCGGTAAAGGCGCAGCTACAAAGCAAGACCATGCAGAAGGCGGCTGGGTTCGATTCCCGGTCCGGTCTAGGAATTTTTCGGGTTGGAAAATTTCTCGACTTCCCTGGGCATAAAAGTATGATTGGACTTGCCACACAATCATATCAATGCAAAAATGGTACAGGCATCGAAAGCTCTCAATTAATAACTGTGGAAGTGCATCTAGAACACTAAGTTGAGAGCACGCAATAAGCTAATATGCGATATGCAATAAGCTTGAAATGCGAAGAAGAAGAAGGAATAAGCCAGCTCAGTTATTTAAAGTGATCCGTGGAAGATCCGTATCAACGCAGCTAAGACCCAGGTCATCATTTTCCCACATTCTCAATCACCTAGACTTGTTCCGTCTGAGAATAATATGATACGCTTAACAACTAATTACCTTCAAGCCTAATAAAAAAAAAATGGTCTTCAAACCAACTTTTCCGTAAGGTCAAACATGTGCGTTCCTTCTTTTCCCGCCCTACTACCGGCCAAGCACGCAACCTCGTGGCATTTGCTGTTGATTTCGTTGTTGCTATAGCAATGAAAAGCTGCACCTTTCGGAATTTTCTCCATCCAGTATGCCGTTGTTTGGAGTCTTCCGTCAAGGTGGAAATTTTCGTTCAAAACTTCGACCCGAGCGGGTGAAAAATTCTTGTGTTCCGATCAAATTTCATTTCCAACACCGAAAAATTCCCTGCAAAAATGTCATCGGTAAGTTTCTGATAAGCTGCTTATTTGCTCCCGAGCGTTTTAAATTTCATCGATTGCCGTCCAAAACAATAGTTAGAGCAAAAGCGAGAAATCTTCCGCAAGTATCTGGAATCGGCAGGAGCCATCGATTGCCTCTCGAAAGCGCTGATCAAGCTCTACCAGGAGGAAAAGAAACCGGACGATGCATGCAAGTTCATTCGGCAGACCATGTGCGAAGCGTGTCCCTCCGACGAAGAGGTGGCTCAGATGGTTCAAGACCTAGCAGATGCTAAGCAGGAAATTTGCTGCCTCAAAAAAGAAATCATTTCGTTCAAAGGAGAAATCCGGAGAAGTTCCAGTGAGGTGGCGCTAGCACTCGAGGAAGGCTTCCAGAAGCTGGAAGAAAACGTGGACTGCGAATCGTCCCTGAAGAGACATCTCACGAAAGAAGTTTTCGATGAACTGAAGGACAAAAAGACAGCACTCAAGTCGACACTGTTGGACTGCATTCAATCCGGACTGGAGAACCACGATTCCGGAGTGGGAATCTACGCGTCGGATGCCGAGTGCTACGATCTGTTTGCTCCTTTGTTTAATCCGATAATTGATGAGTACCACGGGATCAATTCGGCGGAAGTATTCCACCCGGAGAGCGACTGGGGTGATTCCGGTAACTTCGAAAACCTGGATCCGGAGAACGAATTCATCGTTTCCACCCGGGTGCGCTGTGGACGATCGATCGCAGGATTCCCGTTCAATCCTTGCCTAAAGATGGCCCAGTATGAGGAGATTATGGAGCGTGTCAAGACGGTGCTGGAGGGATTGGAATGGGAGGATTTGCGGGGAGAATTCCACCCGCTAGAAACCATGTGCGAGGAGCTGAAGCAACAGCTGATCGACGATCACTATCTGTTCAAGGAGGGCGATCGGTTCCTGCAGACGGCCAATGCCTGCCGGTTCTGGCCGATAGGGCGGGCCATTTTCTACAACGAAGCGAAAACCTTCGTTGTTTGGGTCAACGAGGAGGACCACCTGAGGATCATTTCCATGGAAAAGGGCGGAGATTTGGGTAAGTTTTGAGCGTGATTTCCTTTATAGATTGGCGCACGGGGGAGATAAGGGAAAACTAAAGGGTTTGTGTGTAATTTGAAGGAACTTTTAAAGGGTGATTTATTCTGAGTAGCACATCCTTATCACCGTGTAGTAACACCCGACACCCGTAATAAGGCCCATTATTTTCGAATACGCGATGAAACAAATAATAAAAGTGCGCGATTAGGTTAAATCACCAATCGTGCGCTTTTATTTCCATTATCACCATCACATAGACCCTTATTGCCGATGTCACTTATCACTCACGGTGAAGTGATTCGCATTTGATTTACACGGCAATCACTTCACCGTGAGTGATAAGTGGTTACTTCACTTCGTTTTTACCGTGAAGTGACACTAGTAATAAGAAACATAATCCTGATACAATCACATCCATATGCAGGGATCAGTCCTTCATCCAGGGTCCAGTCCGTCCTATCTTTCGTACACGAATGATGGGTAATCTTCCGGAAACCCGCGTGATTTATGCTAATGTAATCACACTTATTTAAAATAGTTCCAGCGCAATTTATGAAATTTTTGGATTTCGGTCCCATTTGTAATGCAGATTACGAAAATGTAATTACCTCAATACGCCTAAAGAACCCTATTTACAGCTAACGCAAAAAAGCATGTACGGGAACAGAACTAATACAGAAATTTTACTATGAGTACTTCTAGCACATCTAGGGGTATTAATAAGGAAGTCCTTACCTATCGGACGTCCAAAGGCCTTCCAAAGTATTTTAAAGAAATATGAAATGAAAAAGAGTATTTGTTTTCATGAGAAATTAAACGGGAAAATTTAGACGTCTCCTTAGCTTTTAGAAATTCATCTAGTAGTCCAAAAAAACCTCCCACCTACTAATCAAACATGTCGCTTTCTCCCTGCCACTTAGGTGCCGTCTATCAACGCTTGGTCAATGCTGTGGCTGCCATCGGCAAAGATATAGCTTTTTCGCGTAGTGATCGTTTCGGTTACCTTACCTTCTGTCCGTCGAACCTGGGAACGACCATCCGAGCTTCGGTTCACATCAAGCTGCCGAACCTCGGTGCGAACCGAGTCAAACTGGACGAAGAAGCCGCCAAGTACAACCTGCAGGTTCGTGGCACCCGCGGAGAACACACCGAATCCGAGGGAGGTGTGTTCGATATCTCCAACAAACGTCGGTTGGGTCTGACCGAATTTGAAGCGGTTAGCGAGATGTACAATGGGATCCGGCAGTTGATTGTTCTTGAAAAGTCCACAGAACCGGGTGAAGCTACGGCATCCGCCGATGAACCGATTCTCGTGGAGGATGATGCCGAACCAGCTGCTGTTGGCGAAGAGTGATGGAGCTAGCTCCAACTAAATTGGTAAGTGCCACGCGCAGTTGACAATGACGCATGTAGCTGAACCTTTTTATTACGTTAGACAATATAGGCAAATATTTCAAAACAAAACGGCAATCTGAAGCTTATATGCGCTTTAGCTTTTAAGCAGAAGCAATCATTCGGAATTGCGGCTCATGCCACTAACGCTTTAGAAAATATATTCACACATAAGGACGCTGCCATGCTGACGCGGAACGCGAAGCGAAGCGTCAAATCAAATGTAAGAAATAATATCAATAATATAAATTCCTTTGCACCCTCGACGCAACGCTTCGCTTTCCGCGTCGGCATGGCAGCAGCCTAAATGTTGGGAGGAGACATTGAAAATTTATAATAATTGAATTGAACAGAAGCGAAAGAACACTCACACTCTTAGCTACGATTACCTAAAATTATCGGTATTTTTTACCGATAAAAATCGTTACTTTTTACTTTAAATACGCTCTAAAAAATCTTCACGTCCGATTTACGTGAAATATCACGTACGCCTGTATTTATCTGTATTTATAAAATCTCAAATGTTACGTGACGTTAGTAACTTTGATCTGCATTACGCGTCATGTCCACTGAAAATGTTGGTGAAATTGACCGTATATTCACGTAAACAGATTAAGGCTCAAAACACAGTCAATCAAATAGGATTCTTCTTGTTTTTGAAATATTCTTCAATCATCATCATTAGTATACACATACATTCACACACAAGCTATTCGAAAATTTAAAGCAAGTATTTCATGATTTTACATCGTATATTTTCTGGGTAAAACACTATCACTGCATTTACTTACTTGTGTTCTTCGTAGCATTCAACAATTTCACGTAATCGAATACACAAAATGAATAAAAACTGGAGGTCAAATCTCTTGGTGAACAAAATAAAACACCAAGAAAATCACTCCGACTCCACTTCTTTGCTAGGGAACGTAAAATAATCATTGAACAAGCGTTGCCAGATGTATTACGTCTAGCAGTCAACATAAGTTTATTAAAACATGCAAATATTAAGTTTCAACCAATAACATAGATGAGTGGATGATTTCAATGGTGAATGAATATCAAACACTGAATAAATAAAACTAAAAGGAACTTTTTTGGAACATAAACGTTCCATTTGCAAAGGTTAAAAAAAATTGAATTATACACAAAAAGGGAAGATGGCAGCATTGCATGTAGCCAGTTATTGGCTTTCCCGCTCAGGGGTGTAAACAAAATGCCGTACAGCGTTGTCTGGCAGTGTGAATGTTTTGTCTACGACATTCTTATACGCTTGCATGTGTGACGTCACATTTGCTGTTGTATTGAAAATTAAAAGAATAAAAGAGATGGTAGATTTTGCTCACCATACCAGTTGATATTTATGATTCATTGACTGTTTTGGCACGTCGACGCACACTACCAACGAATTTTACCAATACTTTTAGAAAGTGATGATTTAGGAATACAAGAAGAAGAAGCAAAAGCAAATCGAGTGATGGTTAGTTGCCTCTTAAGTGTATTCGTGTTTGTGTGTTTGGGACTTCGATATTTCCGTGAAACGAGATTTACGTGATTTTCAGGTACGCAAAAAAAAATATCAATATGGCGTCACCGAGCGTGGTGGAAGAACTCCTCAGAGCTTCAAAATTCCTCAGCGCTTGTTGCAAATGTTGGACGGTAATTAGATTCTTTTATATTAATTTATTTATGATTATATGTAGCCTTTTTCTAGTTTTATAATTTCAGACGGTGACATCAGCATTTTGAGTCTGCAAACAGGTGTTAATATTTTGTCAGAAATAAAAAAAAACTCATACAAGGGTTGGTTGGAAATGCTAACATGAAGCTTTAGTGTGATGATTTATTAGCTAGAGAATGATCTTTAGAAGAGGGTAGGTGGATAGTTCCGTTAGAGTACGGCAGTATGAAAATTGAATAGAAGTTGAAAATGAGCGAAGGGCCATTAATGCGAAAGTTTTTAAAGATAGACGCACATTTTTGCCTAACCCGTACGATGTACGCGGGGACTTGAAGTATGTCTCCAAGTCCACAGGCAAAAATGTGCGTCCCTCTTTTTGCTTATAAACTGACTGCGGCTGTGGAATAGTTCTAGCGACGTTTTCATCACTACCTAAAGCCCCACGTCGCGAGAGCATTTCCAGTCGATGGTGTGTTATAATGCAGTTCTTCTTTACCCAACTATTGTGTTGCTCCTCTCGTCATGACCAGAGATTCCAGATGACCAGTAGGCCCCCCCCCCCCCCCCCAGACTCACTCAATGTGCTTGTCAGAACTGTCAAATTGGAGCCAAACATTCAGAAGCAACAAACTCAGTTACTGTTCGTACCTCTCGTCAAGCATTGCAATCTCATAAAAAAGATTCATACTTTTTCATAACACATTATTAATTGTAAGCTCAAAGACAAAAACCAACAGGCTCAATGATGAAAGTATAAAAACCAGCATAGTTTTTATGACTCAGCTGTGTTTTCAATTACAGCAAAACATACTTTGGCGAAACATGTATATAAACAAACTTTGATAGAGTCATGGGGGCTCGAGCACTCCTGGCTCAGAGCTTTTGGTGGGAATCAACTGAGAAAGAACAAAACAATTTTAAACTTGAACAAATTTTCAAGCAGTTTTCCATTGGCTTGCAAAATGAAATCGATTTACTCCGCAGTACTCAGCATATTTTTAAGGCTTTATCGCTCAATCGCGTTAGCTTTACGGAGCCGATAATTCATTGTTCTTTGTTTGTAACAAAATTCACTTAATTCTATGTCTAATAGGAGTTGGGCCGAATACTCGCGGCTTACTCGAGGTTAGAGGGGTACATTGTCGAAGGATAGGAAAAGGGGAGGAGCTTGGGGGTAGGGTTTCGTTGTCTCATCAGAGCGATGTCGCCAGTATGAACGGTAGTGTGGTTCTAAATTCGTCTAGAGTTCGACCGGCTATGGTGACCAGTGAGCGACGATGAGACTCATCGAGACGTGGGACAAGACAAACAAAAACTAATATAGAGATACAAAAGGGAAACTAATTAAATTCTAAACAAACCTTGTAAGGCCATTTTCTCACAAACCGAAACCTACATTCGCAATCCCAAACCACAATCGGGTAGAGGATAAATTCCCCTACCTGTTCATTATGTTGGTTTCCTTTGGCGGACTTCGGTTCGCGAGAAAATCAAGACCAACAATTCCATTTAGTAAACAAACCTCCCTGGGCTTTGGCAAAACCTTGAGGTAGTTTAATTAGGCTACCAGGACCCAGGGCTGATCTGGATCTTTACCACATAGGAAAGATGCACACTAGTGTTGCCAGATCAGTGTTGATGCTGACCAAAAGTGTATTTGAACCCGCTTGTAAAAGCATATTAACAGATTAATCATCACCGTACATTGTTCCCTCCCCTTGGCTAGTTTTTTAACCTGGACGTTGGTGGGCGGGCCTAATCTTATGCTTCATAGTGGAGCGTTGGAGACGGTTGGTTTAGGTCCGGCATCGTTGGCTCATGCCGTGACAGAATAGCGTCATGAGCATGGGATGAAGATTACTGAGCTTTCCCTCTCTGATGAACCATTGCATAAGAGAACCAAAGTTCTAGCCTGAAGTGATAGTATCACACTTGTTACTCCTTTATTTGAAAGCCGCGTTGTAGTACGCTTACGTATAGGCACTGACGTTGGGTGCGATACTGGCGGGTGTTGCCGCAAATCACTCTTATTTTATTTATTTTTACGCAGATAGATTTATTTGGGTTTGTAAGGGAATTATACTATTGAAATATTTCAGAAAGTGCCCAACAGTGCTCCTTCTACTTGCGTGACAAGCTTTCGTTGTTGTTTTCATTGAGGTGGTATTGCTCAGGGAACAATATTAAACACCACCATGGTATTGTAACTAATCTTATATATGCTTCATTTTGATTTGGGATAAGTGTTTGAACTATGGCTCGGGATTTCCACTGTGGCGTGCTTCTATTGTGACATAACCATATGTATTTTTGTGGTGCGACATAGTGGAAACGTGTGAGCGTAGTTGAAGCATATACCCTATGCAATTTACAAATCAGCTAGGAAACTAACTTCAAAGTGAAGCATTTTAGTCACTTGAAGCTGTCACCTGGGACGAACTAATAAATATTAAATATAGGTCAAAGTCAAAAACAATCTGAAACACGTTAAATTTTAGATTACATTCACATGTGCAGGTACTTAATAAAGCATGGTAGGTAGATTAGAGATTTCAATTATTTATTAAATTAGACTAGAGATATCATAATCATCAAACGAACTTAAATAAGAAAATTTAGACAGCCTAGTAGCATTAAGTGGATTAACAGAAGACTTAGGATGCGGAGGGTCCGCTTAGGGAGGCAACTAGCCTTTAAAGCAACTGGCAACTAGCCTTTTCATGTATTGTCTGTTTATTTTGATTATTGCTTTAAAATATCAATTTGGTACATATGTGAAAGGATGAATCAGTGGGAGATGGATTTTCGGTTTCTTTACATTTAGCATCACTATGTGTCATTTCCTCAAAACTCCCCAATAACCGGCCTCTTCAATCCCTTCCTTTTCCCATGGCGTTCAAGTGGTCCGCATAGACTATTCAGCCATTACCCGTCCTTTATCCTCGGCTTTGGATTGACTTGCGCTCCCATTGCCCCACCAAACGCTGCAAAATGAAATTAATCATCACCGTACATTGTTTATTGTTCTGTACTAATAATAAATGATTAAGCACAGCATTTGATATTTTTTCAGATATTGCAAAACATGGTCCTCTGTACGTTTACTTTCCAACTTTTACTAATACTACTGTTACTACGACTATCCCCTACTTTTTTTTTATGCAGGGGGGAATCTGCTCACAGACACCTTAGAAGGAACTCAGGGTGTGGGGATGGGAGAATTTCACTCCCGACCCATTAAACCTTACCCTGTGCGCTTGGCCCTTGACCTCCCCGGAACCGCCCGAAGGCATTACTTCGTGGGGGCTATTCCCGACTATCCCCTACTTGAAACACCATTCCTCCCTATCCGGCATCTTAAGCAGGATTCAATTGATCCCTGTGATTATTATTCTATGGTGCCAAATCTTTATCTCTATCCCTGTTGCTGTATGGAAAGTGATGTTTTACTGGAACCTGGCTCTATGACCCTCTTCTGTGCTTGAAAATGAAAATGAAATGGAAAAAACTCCATTTGGTAAACAAACCTTGTGAGGCCATTTTGTCGTGAACCGAAGTCTGCCAACGCAAACCAACAAAATGAACAGGTAGAGGAAATTCTCCTCTACCCGATTGTGTTGTAATTTTGCAAATGTAAGTTTTGGTTCGCGAGAAAATGGCCTTACAAGGTTTGTTTACAAATTTGAGTTGAGGCCTTTTCAATTGTTGGTCTTGAAATGGCCCTACAATGTTTGTTTATAAAATGATAAAATGAGGCCTTTTCAATTGTTGGTCTTGAATTGGTACTGTTCCACTCCTGGCGGATGAGCGAGAATAAGAAGTTGGCCCATTTCCCGAGCAAAACTGGAGATCAAATTGAAATCAAAATTTTCTGTAATGATGTAACTTATTTTGAAAATTCTAGTTGAACTCATTTTGGTTGAGCAACATGAGGGTAACACAGCAAAAATAAAAGCAAACTTTTACACCGTTCTTTTTCCTTGATTTGTTTTCCGTCGACCGACGCCAGGAAGGGAGCTCCCACTTACTTCCCCTAAGGAAGGCGTGATCAGATCAAGACCAACAATTGAAAAGGCCTCAACTCAATTTTGTAAACAAACCTTGGAAGGCCATTTTCTCGCGAACCGAAGCCTACATTCGAAAACTCCAAACGGAAGGAATCCGGGTTGCCTTGTTCCATGTTTCTCGGGAATGACTCGGCTAATAGTGAAAGAGAAAAATGCGACTTGTTTGCTCGTCATTTCAAGCAAGTGTTCCACGATTTCTCCGCTTCGCCAACACAAGTGCTGGACGCTACTGTTTAGATGCCACGTGATGTGTTTAGTTTCGTTATTCCGCGCATTTCAGAAGACATGGTGATAGCCGCAACACGCAAACTGAAGCTCTCGTTCGCCGCCGAACCTGACGGCATTCCGTCATCAGTTCTAAAACGTTGTGTAGCCAATCTCTGCCTTCCACTTGCGAGGCTATTCAATCTCTCGGCACAGCAATGTGAGTTCCCCTGCCGCTGGAAACTTTCTTATCTGTTCACAGTGCACAAAAAAGAAGAGAAACGGAATGTCATAAATTATCGTGGAATCACCTCCCTGTGTGCCTGCTCAAAACTGTTCGAGATTATCATAAATGGTGCTCTGTTCGCACGCTGCAAAAATTATATCGATACAGAACAACACGGTTTCTTCCCGAAGCGCTCCGTGTCCACGAACCTGGTGCAGTTCACTTCTAACTGTCTGCGATGCATGGATTCAGGATGACAAGTCGATACTGCGTATATGGATCTAAAAGCTGCATTTGACACGGTGGACCATAATATCTTGCTGGCCAAGCTGGAGATACTTGGCATCTCGTCAACTGCTGTTGATTGATTCAGATCTTACTTGATGAATCGCTATGTACATGTCAAGATTGGCGCGTCCGAATCGGATGTTTTCTCAAACAACTCGGGAGTCCCGCAAGGCAGTAACCTAGGACCGCTACTATTTTCGATCTTTTTAAACGACGTCGCCTTGCTGATACCGTCAGGATGCCGCGTTTTCTATGAAGACGATACGAAAATCTACAAAATTATTAAAAGCCTCTCGGAGATCCCAGCACCAGAATATGTTGGTATTTTTGCTGACTGGTGCTCAAGAAATTTGATGAGTCTAAGCATAGAAAAATGTAACATTATTTCCTATCACCGAAAAATCGAACCAATCATGTTTGACTATGTTCTCTATAACGGCGCCGGTAGTGTGATTACCTCTCACCCCAGCAGGCCTGGGTTCAATACCAGTCGGCGCCGCCGGGATGTTCTGAGGCATAACATCTCTGATCACGCCTTCCTTCGGATGGGAAGTAAAGTCGTTGGTCTCCGGTTCATGAGTTGATGGGTCGATAGGTAGGGTCCAGGTGTGGGAGCTGCCTTCCTGGCACGTCGGTAGCATTGGTGCTCAGCACGGAAAACAAGATCGACGGAAAAAACAAACCAAAGGACTATGTTCTCTACGGACGCCGTCTTGCTCGTGTAGAGCACATTAAGGATCTCGGCGTTACCGTGGACTGCAGACTCACTTTCAGAATCCACTACAATGACATCATCTCCAGAGCTAATCGACAATTGGGCTTTATTTTCAAAATTGCCGACGAGTTTCGTGACCCGCTATGTCTCAGGTCACTTTACTGCTCGCTTGTGCGATCCTTATTGGAATCAAGTTCAGTTGTTTGGTGCCCTTTCCATGCTAGCTGGATCACTAGAATTGAATCCGCTCAACGCAAGTTTGTGAGATATGCTCTTTGTTTCCTCAACTGGCGTGACCCAACGAACTTGCCACCGTACGAGGAGCGTTGCCGTCTCCTGGGAATCGAGCCATTAGAGGTGAGACTTACGGTCGCTCAAGCTATGTTTGCTGGAAAGCTGCTTACAGGTGACATTGACTGTCCAACACTGCTATCACAGCTAAATATGTATGCCTCTGAGAGGTCTCTTCGTCAACACGACTTTCTGTTTTTGGAACCACGGAGCCGGAATTATACACAACACGAGCCAATTTAGCAATCAGCAGGCAATTCAACAACTTTTTTTATATATTCGACTTCAATGTATCAGCTGACGTGTTTCGTCATCGGCTACTTGGCCTTTTCCGTACCGTTGACCGTAACTATTTAGTTTAAGTTTTATTCATTTAGACAATAATTGTCAGTTGAATTTTTCAATAAACAAAAAACAACAATTCAAATTAAGCAATAAAAACCTTAAAAACAATCGGGTAGAGAAGAATTTCCCCTACCTGTTCGTTTTGTTGGTTTGCGTTGGCGAACTTCGGCTCTCACTGTGGCATCGGCCTATAAGTTCGTATCCAAATGACCTCAAATTTTGTAAGAGTTATCAGGATTTGATGTGGAATCGATTGAGCTTGGTAGAGCAAAATCGATATTTTGAACCACCCTAGTGATTATCCACGGAAAGAAGAGGTAACTTTTGTTTTTTTTTTGTTGGGTAGTTAAAATACTGAAACCATGGTTTAGAACCTTCTTGAATCAAAACCCATACATTTTAAGCAAGGTTAAACATTTTCAACTTTATTTTACATGCCGACACCAGCCACTTACCACTAGAAATGCAAGAGAGCGGTAACATTGTCATACATCCTGGTCTCCAATCACTAATGCCTAATGCTATTCAATAAAAAAAAATCATCTAAAACGCCATGCACCTAAAGCTATAATTTCTTCTGCTAAATAGTTACACTACATTCTTCAATGGGCACGACTGCTGCACAGCCCACACATTCGACCCTTGTGTACCGTCGGCAGCAGAATGCTGGCAATCGATTTCCGATTATACTGCACAACCGCTCCGTTCAGCTCGTTTTCAACCACCAGAATATCTTCATCGTTCAGGTACACCCGGAAGTCGTAGATTTCCTCATCCGGCGGATACTGGTACACTACGTTCTTCAGATTGATCAACTGTTCGTCGTTGATGTTCAGAATCGGATCCGATTCCTGCTGGCCGGTGGTTTCGTACACGATGTAGTTTCCTCCCGTGTAGATCTGAATACCCTTCCCGTTGTCCAGCATAAAGACGGCAATCTTCGGGGCATCGGAACAATCCGCCGCCAGCAGGAAGGTATCGTTCAGGCGGTATTCCTGCTTAAGCTCCGGTGTGAGCTGGGCGATCCTATCGTGGAAGGTGGTCAGCTTGTTGTTGACCAAACTGCACATGCCTACGAGGAAAGCAGATGGAAGGAATTTTACAGAGTTTGCATTGTTAAGGAATGATGGGCACTTACTGGTAAAACCATAATCAATGCTACTCTTCCTGGGATGGTGTAGCTTTTCGTTGTAGTTGTATCGAGTTGGGATCCAGATCGTACCGCCGTTGATGGTAATGTCCGTATCGCTGCTCCATCGGGTTGTCTTGACGTTGACGTCAAGATGGTCGGTAATGTTCAGCGTTTGGACCCGTCTTGGCACTACTGCCGAGGCCAGGTGGTCCAAACGATGGAGCAGTTCCACGATCCACGAAGGAAGCTTCAAATGATTGAATTTGATTAAAATTAACGGAAAAAGGGGACCAGCTCAACCAAAGGTACCTGTTCGAATTTAAAACTAGCATCCAGTCCGGACACCGTCGTCAGCGGGGCAAATGTCTCGGCGCTACAGTTTCCGGAAAAAGGTGGGGGAGTCAGCCGGAGGATTTCCTTGGGACAGTTCACGTCACCGGTGTCCATTATGTTGTACACATCCTGCACGTATTTCGGCAGATGGTAGGAAATGTTGAACGTTATCCGTGGTATGTCCGGACATCGTTTCGGGGTTCGAGTTTCGTTGAAGGCCACGTGACCGATAAGGCTGAATGGTCTTTTCAAGAAAACCAGCGGCTCGTAATCAGCAACCAGGCAAAGCTATATCAGTACGAAAGGGAAGGAAAAGGAAAATCATACATAAATAACACTGTAGTATCGATTCTACCAGAACGTCAATGTCTTTTACTTCCACCCCGGTCACGCAAGGACAAACATGTGCGTTCCTTCTTTTCCCGCCCTACTACCGCCAAACGCGCAACCTCGTGGCATTTGCTGTTGATTTCGTTGTTGCTATAGCAATGAAAAGCTGCACCTTTCGGAATTTTCTCCATCCAGTATGCCGTTGTTTGGAGTCTTCCGTCAAGGTGGAAATTTTCGTTCAAAACTTCGACCCGAGTGGGTGAAAAATTCTTGTGTTCCGATCAAATTTCATTTCCAACACCGAAAAATTCCCTGCAAAAATGTCATCGGTAAGTTTTTGATAAGCTGCTTATTTGCTCCCGAGCGTTTTTAATTTCATCGATTACCGTCAAAAAAAATAGTTGGAGCAAAAGCGAGAAATCTTCCGCAAGTATCTGGAATCGGCAGGAGCCATCGATTGCCTCTCGAAAGCCCTGATCAAGCTCTACCAGGAGGAAAAGAAACCGGAAGATGCGTGCAAATTCATTCGACAGACCATGTGCGAAGCGTGTCCCACCGACGAAGAGGTGGCTCAGATGGTTCAAGACCTAGCAGATGCTAAGCAGGAAATTTGCTGCCTAAAAAAAGAAATTATTTCGTTCAAAGGAGAAATCCGGAGAAGTTCCAGTGAGGTGGCGCTAGCACTCGAGGAAGGCTTCCAGAAGCTGGAAGAAAACGTGGACTGCGAGTCGTCCCTGAAGAGACATCTCACGAAAGAAGTTTTCGATGAACTGAAGGACAAAAAGACCGCGCTCAAGTCGACACTGTTGGACTGCATTCAATCCGGCCTGGAGAACCACGATTCAGGATTGGGAATCTACGCGTCGGATGCCGAGTGCTACGATCTGTTTGCTCCTTTGTTTAATCCGATAATTGATGAGTACCACGGGATCAATTCGGCGGAAGTATTCCACCCGGAGAGCGACTGGGGTGATTCCGGTAACTTCGAAAACCTGGATCCGGAGAACGAATTCATCGTTTCCACCCGGGTGCGCTGTGGACGATCGATCGCAGGGTTCCCGTTCAATCCTTGCCTAAAGATGGCCCAGTACGAGGAGATTATGGAGCGTGTCAAGGCGGTGCTGGAGGGATTGGAATGGGAGGATTTGCGGGGAGAATTCCACCCGCTGGAAACCATGTGCGAGGAGCTGAAGCAACAGCTGATCGACGATCACTATCTGTTTAAGGAGGACGATCGGTTCCTGCAGACGGCCAATGCCTGCCGGTTCTGGCCGGTAGGGCGGGCCATTTTCTACAACGAAGCGAAAACCTTCATCGTTTGGGTCAACGAGGAGGACCACTTGAGGATTATTTCCATGGAAAAGGGCGGAGATTTGGGTAAGTTTTGGGCGTGGATTCCTTCATATTTTGGCGCACGGGGGAAATAAGGGAAAACAGAAGAGTTTGCGTGTAGTTTGTAGGAGCTTTTTGTAGGGCGAATCATTCAGGGCTATTCTGCGCGGCGTGTGAGGTGAAGTGACAGTCCCCCCTATTCTGCGAGTCACGTGACTCTCTCTCACCGGTGAGGTGACAATAGTCCCCTCGTGTGAGGTGACTCTCCATTTGATTTGCATGGAGAGTCACCTCACACGAGGTGACAATTGTCACCTCACCGGTGAGAGAGAGTCACGTGACTCGCAGAATAAGGGGGAGTGAAGTGATGGCGAAGTGACAATTGTCACCTCGGGTGAGGTGACTCTCCATTTGATTTGCACGGAGAGTCACCTCACTCGAGGTCACAATTGTCACTTCACAAGTGAGAGCGTGTCACCTCACCTCACACGCCGCGCAGAATAGGCCTGATTAGGTAGGAAAGTCACGATATAAGGCCACATAGTAAGAGCGAATAGACGAATGAAGCGTTGAAACGAATGTAAGGAATACAGCAATACTACAATATATCGTAACTGTCACTTTTGACATACATAGTCGTTTTCTCGCAAACGGCCCGGGGGTGGGACGTGCTGTCAAATCAGCCTACTGATCATTCTTGTATGAAATTGGTTCCAAACGTAAACAAACCCTGTAGGTTTCTTATGGCTTGGAACCAGTTATACGAGGTAGGCCCCCCTTTGAAACGGCCATTCAATCTCACATAATAACAACACCATCAGGTAGATGACACAAATCCCCATCTATTTGAAATGTTGGTTTGTTTGATTGAGTTAATATTTGTGAGAAATGGACGATGATAGCAAAAAGGGATAGTTAGGGGTAAGAGGGGCATAGTGAACAGGTGAGGCATAGTGAGCATCCCGTGCACCAGCTTATACTTTCGGCCATTCGGAACAAATTGGTTGGTGGTAAGATCAATTAGGCCTATGATGTGATGTGAGGTGACAGTGAAGTGATGGTGAAGTGACAATTGTCACCTCGGGTGAGGTGAGTCTCCATGCAAATCAAATGGAGAGTCACCTCACCCGGGGTGACAATTGTCACGGCACTAGTGACATCGAGTCATCTCGAGCCTTATTACGGGTGTCACTACACGGTGACATTGAAGTGATACTCAGAATAAGAGCCGTGATTGCCGTGCAAATCAAATAAGAATCACTTCACCGTGACGACAAGTGACAAGTTTTCACCGTGAAGTGACATCCATAATAAGCCCCCTCACCTCACACGCCGCGCATAATATGATATTGGACCTACTACAGTTGATTTGTTTCATGCAGCTGGAGATCCAGAGCCAAACTGTGGAATACTCACTATGCCCCTCCAAGAGTTGAAAAAATCACCAGCATTCACTATGAAATGAATTTTTCATCCTTAGTGAACTTTGATGAATTTCAGTGATTTTTTCAGCCCTGCCCCCTCCATCCCTCTACGTTATATCGAGGTCATACCTGTAATATCAATATTGGAAATTCCCAATATTGATGTTATTCGATCCCAATATGGAATCGGGATAAGGGGGGAACGGAGGTTGAAAAGTAATGGCGCTATAGCCATAAATCGTAAGGAAAATGGAGCATCACTTAACCTTTCTAACTTAGATGCTTTTAACGACCAACCAATCATGTAATTACCAAAAACGGAACGTACGGTACGAGATGTCCACGTTTCATCAATTTATTGGATTCTGAAGCATCGTGTTTAAATATTCGTTTTGAACATGCCCGATGTTTCCTGAATCATCTTGCCCCTTAAATACTGCACATGCCGTTTTGGTAATATGTGACGCAAGAGTGTGGCCTGGAAGATTCAAAGCAAACTTTGCATCGGCAGCTGAACTGGAAGGTGTTGAGTTCGGTCAAGAGATAAATTCGCCTGGATGATCTGCCAAGGAATTTGCAGCTGCGGACTCAAAACTTGTGTGCAGGATCAATTATTTTTTCTCGTCTTCCATCTTGTGCAACTTTTTTAATACTGCACGTATCGAAACGGAACTTCCACCCCTGAAACACGTACACTATCAAAACAAATCACTGTCAAAACATTCCATATCCTACCACTAGAGGTGCTGCTAAAGTGTCCGAATTCTAAGTGGATTAGACTTTAATGATTGCCTATAATTCCGAAAAATGTTTTTATAGCGAAATGAGCATTTGCAACATCGAAGTCTCCTGCAACTTACAGAGACTTACAGAAAGCTGTAGCAACTTACAGCAAAAGCAAAAAAGCAACAGGCCTAATACAGGCATTTACCTAAGAGTACTTCTAGCACTTCTTAGGATTTTAAAGAGGATGTCCTTACCTATCGGCCTTCCAAAGTATTTCAAAGAAATATGAAAAGATAAAGAGTATTTTTGTTTTCATAAAAAAATTAAACGGGAAAATTTAGACGTCTCCCACAGAACAGAAGAAGAAGAGCAAACAAATCGGTGAATCAAAAAGTGGTTCGTTTTTCTGCTCAACAACCGATGTGTTGTGGTAGCGTTCCACACGGGCTTTCTATGTGCACTCATACTATCATAACATCTGCAGGCAGAAGATGCCTTCTACCGCTAGGTGCGCTAGTGTTCGCCAATTACACTCAAGTCTTTTTTTACACGGATGATACGTACCGCGTAAAAAAAACCGTGTAAAAAAAACCGCGTTGTTTCAAAAAACCGTGTGAAAAAAGACCATGTGTTTCACAAAACCGTGTGATAAACCCGTGTTATTTCAAAATTCATCATAACAAAAAAACTGAGCAGTGTGCATGGAATTTTATTCGGTACTTGTAAGTCATGATCACCTAGAACATATTCGTTCATGATAAAGTTCTTCTGGAGGTAAAGACCTTCCGAATGCTTTGATCACACCATTACGGAATTTTCTCTCATTTGTAAATCCTAACCATCTTGAAAGCAGCTGGCTTCCACAAAGCCAGACAATGAACCAGGTTTGTGTTGGAATTCAACCATTTCCACTCTTGCATGGTATAATCTAGACGTGTAGAGGCCGGAAATCGATGATTCATGCCATTTTGAAATCCAAGATGGCGGCTTCCGGTTTTGTGAAAAATTGTCAAATAGCCAACAATATGAATATTTTTGGAATCGAGACGACATACAGAGGGCGGAAATTGATAATTCATGCCATTTTTGAATCCAAGATGGCGGCTTCCAGTTTTGTGAAAAACTGTCAAATAGCCAACGATATGGATATTTTCGGAACGGGAACGACGTGTAGAGGCCGGAAATCGATGATTCACGCAATTTTGGAATCCAAAATGGTGGCTTCCGGTTTGTGAATGTTTCAAAAAAATGTTATGCAACAAATTTTAATTAATTTTTTTTCGATAATCTGTAATTAATCTTCTTACATTTACAAGAACTTCATAAATTCGATGTTGAACAACATGTGATACCAGTGACTTGGTTGTGGAATGGATGTAGCACTAGAGGTTATACAGGTACAAGTGGTAATGGCCTGCCGAGATTTGCTCAGCCTAGTTCGGTAGAAAAAAACTAAGTGTGTGGATAGTACTTAACATAACAGGAACTGGGGTTGAAGTTGTCGCTGACCGAATAGTCAAAGTCATGAAACACAGTGAACGAAGAATCCTTGTCACTGAAATCGATGTTTAGCCAATAAGACATCATGGACACTGCCACTACCAGTGCACGGTATGTACTGAAGTAGACCCTTTAAATTAAACTTCAATTTAAATTCCACTGTTTGACATGGTCAAAAAAATGTGGTATACATGTATGTTCTACAAAACCATTTCATCCATTACTAATTGAAAGAATCGGCTCAACATAATCAAGGCTCCCTATAGTTTGACGGCAGTGGCATTTCAATAGCGATTTACGGGGTAATCTATTTCATCAAGGGGAATATTATTTGGCAGAATATCCCATTTCGCGTAATGTCCTATCTTGCAGAAATTTTATCCTTATTCCGCAAAATAGGATTCTGCAAATCGGAATTGCGCCAAAGAGAACTTCGCGAAATAATTCTTTTTGCAAACATACGACTCCGAGTAAATTTTTCAATTTGTTGATTTTTTTCACACTATAGAGTTTTATATTTTGATTTATACTGATACATGTGCCCTGATTCATCTATTCTTTTTGCAAGCAATGAATAAATTATAAATTTTTTTCAGAAATGAGCGCTGGTATCAGTGCACAGTGGTACAGAATGCAGATTTAGGTGGAATGAAATGTTTTGAGCCTGAAATTGAAACTTTAGACTAAAAATCTCTTCTACAAAGTTGTTCCTTATAGTTAGGCCCTCATTTTTATGGCAATGAATTCTAGGGTGGTTCCTATTATAATTAAAATCAAAAATCTAACTTTTTTGTTTGAATAAATTGAGGTATACATTCTTCAGCAAAGTTATAGCTGAGCTAATTTCGAGCAACTTTGTTGAAAATAACTTTTTTGTATCTCTTAAATTGGCCGATTTAGAGCTATTTTCTTGAATTGAGTTTGGGTGGCTCTTAAAAAAACAGTTTTTTGCTCTATTTATCTTATTTCGAATTTCTCAGCAAAGGTGTCTTGAGATAACTTTTAGATCTTAAGAAGGCGCAAATTTTTACTGCACAAAGCTTGTCAATATCTTTCGCCGATCAAGAGTTATTGACGTTTGTATACTAAAAATATGCACTTTTCAAATGTTAATATCTCTGGTTGGGGCAAACAAAAAAAAAGTTTTTTTGCAGCATTTTAAATGGCGTATGTTATTCTCAATAATATGAAAAAATTGGAGGTACGTTATTTTTTAAACTCGTATAAAATCAATTTGAATTTATACATTTTTTTACTATATTTGAGTATATCTTTTTTATTAGAAGAGATACAGGCAACCAATTCAGGTATAAAACATTCGTCTTAAAGAGTTTCAGAGTCTCTAGAAGATAACTTTCATGAGAATTTTCAAATAAAAAAGTTATTGCTAAAAAACTATTTTTTCCAGGAACACCCTAAGTCAACTCCGAAAAATTATTCTAAAATGAGAACGTTAAGAGATAGAAAAAAATTTTCTTCGACAAAGTTGCTTGCAAGTAACTTAACTACAACTTTTTTGAACAACACATGTTTATATTTTGTAAAACAAAAAAGTTAGTTTTAAAAATTCCCTAATTTGAGGACCACCCTGACGTTTGCAAACACCAAAAGAAGGGAGTTTTTAAGAACAAAAACTTCTTCGAAGACATTAAACGTCCAAATATTGAAATAAATGTACTAGCACATTTTATATAAATTTGTCATTAGAGTGGTCCTATGAAATCCATCTTTTGCCAATAACTTTTTTATTTGAAATTTATTATCAAAGTCATCTTCTAAAGACTTTTAAAACTTTTTAAGACGAATGTTTTATAGCTGAATTTGTTGCCTGCCCAAGTAACCATAGGCACGTTATTTCGCCTTTTTGGCTATATACAGTTCAACAACGGCTATACCAGAGTTTGTAAGTTCTGATGCGGCCCGTATATAGCCAAAAAGGCGAAATAAGGTGCCTATGGTTACTTGGGTGTATCTCTTCTAATAAAAAAGATATACTCAAATATAGTAAAAAAATATGAATAAATTCAAATTGATTTTATACGAGTTTAAAAAATAACGTACCTCCAATTTTTCCATATTATTGAGAATAACATACGCCCTTTCAAATGCTGCAAAAAAACTTTTTTTTTGTTTGCCCCAAACAGAGATAACATTTGAAAAGTGCATATGTTTAGTATAAAAACGTCAATAACTCTTGATCGGCGAAAGATATTGACAAGCTTCGTGCAGTAAAAATTTGCGCCTTTTTAAGATCTAAAAGTTATCTGAAGACACATTTGCTGAGAAATTCGAAATAGGATAGAGCAAAAAAACTGTATTTTTAAGAGCCACCCTAACTCAATTCAAGAAAATAGCTCTAAATCGGCCAATTTAAGAGATACAAAAAAGTTATTTTCAACAAAGTTGCTTGAAATTAGCTCAGCTATAACTTTGCCAAAGAATGTATACCTTAATTTATTCAAACAAAAAAGTTAGATTTTAGATTTTAATGATAATAGGAACCACCCTAGAATTCATTGTCATAAAAATGAGGGCCTAACTATAAGGAACAACTTTGTACAAGAGACTTTTAGTCTAAAGTTCCAATTTCAGGCTCAAAACATATCATGGCACCTAAATCTGCATGCTGGATCACTGTGCAGTGGACTAAAAATGCTTCGCACTAATGGCATGGTTCCTCTGTCGAAGAGCATTACCGCAATAATATACTGGTTAGCATTGACTGACGGGGTATGCTTTAATTTCATCATTTGCTTGTATTAAGTATCGATAAGTCTTAGTTATGTAAATAAGATTTAAGTCTGCCAGGTTTCTGACTAGAGTTACTTTGGCAGTGGCAGTGTCCATGATGTCTTATTGGCTAAACATCGATTTCAGTGACAAGGATTCTTCGTTCACTGTGTTTCATGACTTTGACTATTCGGTCAGCGACAACTTCAACCCCAGTTCCTGTTATGTTAAGTACTATCCACACACTTAGTTTTTTTCTACCGAACTCGGCTGAGCAAATCTCGGCAGGCCATTACCACTTGTACCTGTATAACCTCTAGTGCTACATGCATTCCACAACCAAGTCACTGGTATCACATGTTGTTCAACATCGAATTTATGAAGTTCTTGTAAATGTAAGAAGATTAATTACAGATTATCAAAAAAAAAAAAGTTAATTAAAATTTGTTGCATAACATTTTTTTGAAACATTCACAAACCGGAAGCCACCATTTTGGATTCCAAAATTGCGTGAATCATCGATTTCTGGCCTCTACACGTCGTTCCCGTTCCGAAAATATCCATATTGTTGGCTATTTGACAGTTTTTCACAAAACCGGAAGCCGCCATCTTGGATTCCAAAATGGCATGAATTATCGATTTCCGGCCTCTGCATGTGGTCTCGGTTCCGAAAATATCCATATCGTTGGCTATTTGACAGTTTTTCACAATACCGGAAGCCGCCATCTTTGATTCCAAAATGGCATGAATCATCGATTTCCGGCCTCTGCATGTCGTCTCGGTTCCGAAAATATCCATATCGTTGGCTATTTGACAGTTTTTCACAAAACCGGAAGCCGCCATCTTGGATTCCAAAATGGCATGAATCATCGATTTCCGGCCTCTACGCGTCGTTCCCGTTCCGAAAATATCCATATTGTTGGCTATTTGACAGTTTTTCACAATACCGGAAGCCGCCATCTTTGATTCCAAAATGGCATGAATCATCGATTTCCGGCCTCTGCATGTCGTCTCGGTTCCGAAAATATCCATATCGTTGGCTATTTGACAGTTTTTCACAAAACCGGAAGCCGCCATCTTGGATTCCAAAATGGCATGAATCATCGATTTCCGGCCTCTACGCGTCGTTCCCGTTCCGAAAATATCCATATCGTTGGCTATTTGACAGTTTTTCACAAAACCGGAAGCCACCATTTTGGATTCCAAAATTGCGTGAATCATCGATTTCTGGCCTCTACACGTCGTTCCCGTTCCGAAAATATGTATGTACCCATGTTGTCCGGTGAATCCACTCGAAGTACACTTCCAAGTTTGTTTTTTTGGCTAAGTCCATTCCTAAGAAAACACTTATGGCGGTAAGCTCCAACTCGGATTAACTTTTAATACCGTCCCTGTTTGGATGATCTGCGAAGTGTTTGCATAGCATCGTGTTGAATAACTCTGATGTCGACATCAAAGCAGCCGGACATTTTTTAACGGGATTTAATCCGAGGATAATACCGATTCGAGCTTACCGCCATTAGAATGTTTTGGCTCTTTAACCGCGTTATTTCAAAAAAACCGTGTAAAAAAAACGCGTTATTTCAAAAAACCGCGTAAAAAAAACCGCATTATTTCGAAAATCGTCGTAAAAAAACCGTGTAATAAAAGACTTCAGTGTACAAGTGGAGCCACTTTCTGATCCGAAGTTCCACTTCTTAGCTTTTAGATATTCAACTTGTAGTCCAAATAAGCCTCCTAACTACTAACCAAACATGTTCCTTTTTCCCTGCCACCCAGGTGCCGTCTATCAACGCTTGGTCAATGCTGTGGCTGCCATCGGCAAGGACATAGCTTTTTCGCGTAGTGATCGTTTCGGTTACCTTACCTTCTGTCCGTCGAACCTGGGAACGACCATCCGAGCTTCGGTTCACGTCAAACTGCCGAAGCTCGGTGCGAACCGAGCCAAACTGGACGAAGAAGCCGCCAAGTACAACCTGCAGGTTCGTGGCACCCGCGGAGAACACACCGAACCCGAGGGAGGTGTGTTCAACATCTCCAACAAACATCGGTTGGGTATGACGGAATTTGAAGCGGTCAGCGTGATGTACAACGGGATCCGACAGTTGATTGACCTTGAAAAGTCCATAGAACCGGGTGAAGCAACGGCATCAACCGATGAACCGATTCTCGTGGAAGATGACGCCGAACCAGCCGCAGCTGGCGAAGAGTGATGAAACTAACTCCAACTAAATTAGTAAGTGCCATACGCAAATGACAATGACTCATGTAGTTGATCCTTTTTACCACGTTAGACAATACAGACAAAATGTTTCAAAACAAAACGGCAATCTGAAGCCTATATGCGCTGAAAGCAAAAGCAATCATTCGTTTTCGTTTTTCCCTTCGGTGAACCCCGATAATCAATCAAACCGGAATTGCGGTTCACGCCACTAACGCTGTAGCAAAATATACTCACACGTAAATGTCGGGAGGAGACATTGAAAATTGATTATAATTGAGTTTAATTGAACTGAACAGAAGCGAAAGAACACTCACCTTCCAATTGGTACTGTTCCACTCCTGGCGGGTGAGCGAGAAGAAGAACTTGGCCGCATTGTTGCTCTTGTAGTCGGTAAACTGCGACGTGAGATCCCATTTGTGCAGCACTTTGACCTCATCGCGACTGCCTTCGCCTTCCGGCTTGGGAATGGTGTGCGCTAGGATCAGGTTCACGCGAAACACCTCATTTTCCGGCACGTTGGGTTGCTTAGAGTAATTCTCTTCGTCCCATTTGAGTGTACCTTGAAGCCGAGTTTTCTGCTTGTTGGACACCAAAAGGGTAAGATGCTTGTCACGACCAATGTGGATCGTGTTTAGCTGTATCAGGTTGATAATCCGCAGAACGTGGTTGACCAGGGAAAACGGTGCACCCGAGAGGACCTTAGCGTTGTCTAGGACGTCCGTTTCCAACATAAACATTACGTTGTCCTTGGTGTAGTCTTCATGAGCTCTGGCCATAAACTGAATGCCTAGGTCTTCGAAAGTGTAACCAAATCCAGCTATTTCCTCCTCCTTCGGTTCAAGTCTATCCCGGAGGACCAAGGAATCCGAAGGGATGTTTCTTGTTCGGCTCTTCAGCGAAATACCACTGGTCAGGCCATCGGGACGGTAGAAAGCATAGCTGATGGATTTACTGGCTATGTCCCACACGATTTCATTGTTGATTGGAATGTACACCAGGAAGCCCTGTTCTCGAATGGTCGAGTACTCAATATCCTCGATTGGGTTGTAGCTACGAATTTTGACTACAGCATAGGATGAGTACCGTAGATCGACCTGATTGCTACGGGCCACCTTGTCCATCATCATCTGCTGGGTGGTATTTCCCCGGATCGTTGCCAGGACCGTATTCTCGATCAGAATGTCGGCCGGAGTCCCGATCAGAGTGGGCAACGCGTACTTGATCATGAACGGACGCCGAACGATTTGCATATTGATGTGACTGTCTCGCAGCAAGAAATTAATCCGGTTGATCACTTGAAGTTGGTAATATTAAGGTTAACTTACGAATTTTAGGAGTAGATAGGTGGGTACTTACGATCACCGTCGGTCAGGTTGTGGAACGTTGTCTGATTAAGATGGTAGGACAGGACGGCTTTTCCTTCAAACTGAACGATGAACTCGAAGTGAAGCGGTGTGGGATTTGAAGTGGGCATCTTCATCGATTTCAGAATGTTTGTCAGCCGGTCCAGCTTTAGGTAGCTGGAGTTAAGCTTGGTCAATCGATGAATAACGGCATCCGTTAGACCGCGCGCTTTTATGTAGAACTGAGTGGTGAAAAGGGGATTTAGAACTTATTCTAATAACTGTCGTTATTCATGGATACTTACACCCAATTGTCCAGTGAACCGGCCCAGCGCCTCTGTATCGAATTTGATGTAAGCCATCATGGGCAGATCCGTTCTGTGACTTCCAATCAGTAGTGCTTGCAGCATCGATCCGATATGGAACTTGCGGTCCCGGTAGTCGAACAAATAGTTTCCAGTAACCCAGTATTTGGATGGTGGTGCCTTGGGGAGCTGCCTGGTCATGTAGGCCAACAGTTGCTTCCTAAATGGGGAGAAGGATATCATCACCCACCGTCCGAACACATGCCTTAATTTCTAGAACTTACAAATGCTGATAGCAGGGATAGGTCGTTTCCGATATGCTAAGAACCGTCGTCCGGTAGAAATTGATCATGTGAGGATCGTTTTCAGTTTTGATCACACTGTACAACCCTAGAAGTCTGCCGGGAGTTGGGTTCGATATCAAGAGCATCGTAAAGGCAGCTACCCGCAGCTGCAGGGGACTAGTTTTGGAGTGAAAAATCGGCCAATAAGTTTCGTAGACCTGGTTTGGCCGAAGATGAGCCGTTGGCATCGTTGCCCACATAGCCAGGAAGCGGATGTCGGTGTTTTGTGGATAGTCCGCCTTGATGATAGGGTCCAAGTATTCGGCCACGTTTTCCAGCTGTAGATTGCCGAGCGCCTCCAGGTAGAGCATCTGTTGTTCGTATTCAAAGCTATCTGTTGGTAAAATCGAGTTAGATCATTTCACCCCTGAATTCTGAAAACATCAATCATCGACTTACTCAAGAACATATCGAAGTAGATCTTGACGTATTTCTCAAAACTATCAGCGGTCATTTTACCGGCAACAAACGTGTTGTAGATCATCGTTGCGTAGCTCAGCACAGCAGCATGCTTGATGTCCGGTCGATCGGTACCGAAGCTTAGGAAAACCTCACATTCCTTGACTACTTCGTACGACGGTTCGGACATGTAGAACGGTAATGAGATCAACAGTTGTACCGCTGTTGCTGGATTAACCTGCTGGTTGATGATCAAGTCCCGTGTCAGTAGAATGGTAGGCGACGTTCCCGTTCTGGGAATAATCTCCAGCAAAATGTTCCTCGCCGTTTCTTGACGATAGGAAGTTCCCAAATCTATTTCCTCAAACAAGGATTTCAGTGTATCCAAGTGCATCGTCCCCATCAACCGTATGATCTCCGACACGGTTTCGTCATATGGTTCCTTCAGCTTTGAATCTATTGATTCCAAGTTATCCGCCAAGGTGTTCAATAAATCAGCCGTCTTCTTGATCAGACTTTGCTTCGATTTGGGACTTCTTCCCCCGGTTGCCTCGTCGTCCGGACTGACGAACAGTATCGGACTAAACAGCAGGGACATCCCTTGAGCGATACTGAATATCTGTTCAGGACTATCGATCAAACTGTGTCCTTCGTACTTTAGTTGAACTTTAGTGTACAAGAACTGCGGATAGTAAGATTCAAACGTCCGCACATTGGTTCGCATCGTTCCGTCCATTTCCAGCAACATGTACCGGTACGGTTCCACCTTCTTCAGTTTATAGTTTGCAATTCTCGACGTGATGGCCTGATTCTGTTTGTTAGCTGTGCAGATGTTCAGCGGGATGTTGCTCCTCGTCAGGTAGATCGCTCCCGGGTAGATATTGCAGCTGCCCATATCGTAGGTCTTGGAAATTTCAAATACATTCGACTTGTTCACCACAAAGTATTCCGTGGGACAGTTGCCGAAGATGCCCTGCTCGTCGACCACGTACGCTCCCGGACTGTCGCCGTAGGTCTGTAGAAGCGAGGCCACTGCCCGCTTGATGTTGCTCGACCAGATGGGTTCGTTCTCTTTGAACAAGACACTTAGCACGGAACTGTCGTTGGCGAGAGCCACGCGGAACGGTTCCAGCAGAGCGATCACGTTACTCTGGTTCGGGAAATGAGCGTCGTCGAGGGTGATCTGTTGGGGCGGGGGATAGTGAGGTTATTGCAGGGCTGGTAGCGATCAATGCTGTCAAAAATAGTGATTCTAGTGACCATGTTGAAGAAATAAGTGACCAAATGGTGACTTATTGTAGTGAAAAAAAATTGACTAAAAAGTTACCTAAGAGAAGAAAAGTAATCGTTCTGATGATGATTAAATGGAATACCCACATGAATCCATTTTCAGAATTTTTAAATTTGATCAAATTGTCAAATCATGCTCTATAATGTTAAGTAGAGCCAGAGCTCTAAGAACAGAAGGTTCCGAAGAAATGGACTCAACTTTATGACTCAGCTCTGGTACTCTCTCGGTCCCATGTTAATCGTTGCACCCCTCGAAACATAGGAAAATCCACGAACCCCTAATTTTATCTGTCAAACTTTCATAGCGAATCAAAACAAACATAGTGTTGTACTAGAATTTCGACTAGAATGGGGTACGCTTATCGATGTTATTGGGACCAATAGGCTAATCAAGTAGTGAGCCAATTTAAAATCGTTAGTTTCTACCGGTTGGTAGAGAGAGAGAGAAAGAGAGTCGATCTGCAACCAATTGAACTGTCACAAAAGTGCACCCAATCGAGCAGAAGACCTGTCAATGGGTAGAAAACAGATCTTATTACACGTTTCGCTTATACATTTTTGCCAAAACATCAGCCTTATACATTCCATAAGACAAACCACATAGGTCCTATAGAGTTCTCTAACACCATTAGTATTAGCATAGAGGTAACTCTAAGACTAGTAGGTCCCGAAGAAACGAGCTCTACTTTTTGGCTCAACTCTGGTACTCTCTTCGGTCTCAAGCTAATCGATCCACCCCTCGAAACATAGGAAATTCCACTAACCCCTCATTTTATCTGTCAAACTTTCATAGCGAATCAAAACAAACATTGTACAGTACTAGAATTTTGACTAGAATGGGGTACGTTAATCGATTTGGGATCAATAGGCTAGTCAAGTAGTGAGCCAATTTCAAATCGATGGTTTCGTATTGATTGTTAGTATTAGCATAGAGGTAACTCTAAGACCACTGGGTCCCGAAGAAAATCATTATTATTTTTGGCTCACTCAGTACCAGAACAACGGTCCCAAGCAGTCCCAAGCTATTTCACTCACCCCTGCATGTTCTGCATGAATCCACACACCCCTGATGTTATCTGTCAAACTTTCATAGCGAATCAAAACAAACATAGTGTAGTAATAGAATTTCAACTAGAATAGGGTACGTTAATCGTTTGCTTGGGACCAATAGGCTACTAAAGTGGTGAGCCAATTTAAAATCGTTAGTTTCGTATTGATTGTTGGTATTAGTGAGCAGTTTCACGAATACATGCGTTTTACTGGTTGAAAATAAAAAACAAACCGGTGTCAAGTCGAACACTTTGACTGCTGATTTCGTGGTTGAAAATAATAAACAAATCGATTTTACACGGCTACACTAGCTAGGTTGATCTTGCGTCGAGAAGTCAATAGACTTCTCTGCCGTTTGTGAATTGTATAAGTATTAGTGCAGAACTTTGGGTAAATTCAAAGGTTTTCTTGCACTAATACTTATAATTTACCCCGAGTTCTGCACTAATACTTGTGCAATTCACAAACGTCAGTGAAGTCTCTAAGAATGTATAAAAGGTTTGTGTGACCGCTTATACATTTCATTTGACACATGATCTTCATTAACTTTTTGCAAGGCGTCTGCTTATTAGTTGACTTATACATGTTCGGGGAATCATCCAAACCATTTTTGGAATAGTTCAATCATTTGGGTTATCGTTCGTTTATGGTAATTTTTTATTAGGAGTCCCTCCCGGTCCATGGCTTTCTGGACGAAAGACGTGAATAGATTCAACTTTTTGGCCACATCCCTGACCGAAGCATTGGGCCGCTTAAACGCTTTCAAGACACGCTACGTGATATAGACTGTAATGTGAACGGAGTATAAGGGAAGCAAGTTGGAGTACTCGATTCAGGACATTTCATTCAAGTTTTACCATACAGCCAGACCGGATATTGATCCTCATCAAGCAAACGATTTGGACTACTACGCTGGAACATTGCTTAGCACCTTGATACAGATTCTCTTGGTCACTCGGTGAGATCTTTCTTTTTATCTTTATTTATCTATTTATAATTCACTTCAGCTTATCGTTTACCCTGCTGCAAACCCAACCCTCTTGCACAAAATCCCAGTGATTCCTCGTGGAAGTACAGAGGATTTCTCGGCTTCCATCAAAACGAGTGTCACGTCAACACATTCCTACCCATTCCTTTCTTGACCTGCGTTCGGGCGCAGCCGGTGCTGGTATTGCGTAGTTCGAGATCACCAGTTTTTACACTTTGAGGATGATTGCTAGTCCTAAGAATTTGTCTATTGGTTCTCTGTGTAATTACAGCTGATCTGGCAATAACAGAGTAGGAACCGTGGGCGGTCAATCATACTCATGCTCGTTTTTAAACGATAGATGAGGAGATGAAATTATAGAGTTGATAGTTCCGTTAGAGTACGGCAGTGTGAACATTGTATACAGAGAGTTGAAAGCAAGCAAGGGCGAGGACAACTTTGAGGAAGGTACGAATCGGGTTGATCATCTCTCTTTACCAAACTGCCCAGTTGGAGAGGGATGGTGAGGGCTTGGACAAAACTTAAGGATTCTGATACTTTGCAGAGTTGTGTACATAATTTTAACGATAATGTCAAATGAGTTCTAAGGAGATTTGTAGAGAAATTTTATGGATAATCATGAAGGAATTAGGAGAACTAAAGGTGCATTCAAAGGTAGTTCTGAATAGAAATACTCAGAGGGAGAGATGGGCGGAGAGAATGTTTTGAGCCAAGTGAACTGTCATAATCTGAGCCAATCGAACATTCCAATTAGATTGTTTTCTTATTCTTACAAGAATAAATTTGAGAATATTGCAATCGAACAGAAATTCAATCACCTTTATGTTTTGTGTGCTTCTCAAATTCAACTAGTTTTTGGGATCAAACACAATATTCTAACTCTATTGATTAATTGATCTTCGCCGGTTAACGAATGGCACCAAGAAATGTGCAAAATATTGCGATGCTATCAATTATTATTTTGCACCTAATACAAGTCATTTGAAATGCTAGCTTCTAGCAAGGGTTGCAAGATAATTTAGGAACAAATCACTGCTGCCGAATTGTATTTTGTTTTCTCCGCCTATCTCTCCCTCTGAGTATTTCTAGTTCTGAAGAAACTTTTATGGGGATTGAAATAATTCCAGGGAAATCAAGGGCAATTTGCAAGGAATTTCATGGAGCATTTTATAAGCGAATTCGAAAGAATATTCAATGTTAAAGTTCATAGTTATTCTCAGGGTCCCTTTCGATACTTTCTCATTTTTTATAAAACGAACCGGCTGAAAAGAGCTTCATGGAAATATCGATACTACAGCCAACTTTCCATTTCTCGATATGTGAGGAATATCGAGAAATGGAGAGTTGTCTGCAAATCTAATCTACAGCCGACGATAGTTAGAGACATCATTTGCTGAATTTTAACCTAGTTTGAAGACAGTTGCAAGGGAATTCATAGGAGACTTTTTTTAGAATTTTGAGGGATTTAGGGAATCCGAAGAGAATCCCCTTTATTCTGCGCCGCGAGTGAAGTGAGGTGACTCGCTGTCACTAGTTAGGTGTCTCCGTACAAATCAAATGCAAGTCACATCACCTCACTCGCGGCGCAGAATAAGGGGGAATGATTTTCAAATGGAATTTTCAACATATTTCCAAGAACTATGAGAAGCATTCCGTGTCGAGCAGGAAGAAAGTTCTGAGAGATTTCCTAGGAGAGTTTTAAAAGAATTTCGAAGAGAATTTCAAAGAAAATCCAAAAGATTCTTTCAAGGGAATTATGAGAAATAGTCCCAAGGAATTCTGATGTGAAACCCAAGGCAATTTGGTGGCAGTACTTTAGAAAACCTGGGGTGATTTCCAACAGCAAAGAAATCCTAAGGATAATTCCTTAACAATTCCAAGAAAATTCGGAGGAAAACTTAAAGGAATTCTGAAGAGAATCTCTCTAGAGTCTGTGACACGAAAGACTTTCAAGGTTCAAAAACGTACAAAGTTATTCAAACTTTTGAGGTTGCGAAGCTAATATAAATCAAGTGCTTGAGGCTTGACATTTTTCAAGCATTATACCTGGAATTGTTTTGAAAAAATGGCAAGACCTTGGACTTGACAAATGTATAAAGCTCTGGGACATGAATCATTTGTTTAGATCTCAAACTTATTTTTTGGTATCCCCTGGGCATTGGTAAAATCTTGTGGAAGTTTGATTAGGCTACCAGGTCCCAGGGCTGATCTGGATCTTTACCTCATTGGAAAGATGCACACTAATGTTGCCAGATCAGTGATGATGTGAACCAAAAGTGCATTTGAACTTGATTGTAATAGCATATTAACAAGTAAATCATTATCATACATATTAGATTTTTTTTTTGTTAATTGATAATAAATGGTTAAGTACAGCTTTTTAATTTTTTAGGAAGAATGCTGAATTTAGTCACAAAATACAGTTAAAATCATTTTTGTTAAACTCTCCTAAGAAATCGTTGGAATTCTGTGCTGAATTTTCGTGACACTTTCTTAAGAATTTATTGTAAATACTTCAGCATTTTTCTTTATTTACCTAAGAACACGATTCCTTCGGAATTTTTCTCGGATCTTGCTTGAAGTTCTCCTGTGAATCTTTCTCAGTATTCCTTTAAGATTTTTATCAGAAAACCCTTTAAATTATATTTTTATATTTCATTCTCCTTTACATTCACCTGCAATTCTCCTCACAATCTGCATACAATTCTCTTCAGAATCACCTTGGAATTCTCCTTGAAGTTTTCCCCACAACTCCCTTGTAATTCTTCTAAGAGTTCGTCAGGACTTAATCCTAGAATTAATTTAGGATTATTGCCAGAGCTCCATTGAATTTTCCTTCGAGTTCTTCTCAGAATTTTGAATTTACAAAATTCTTTAAAAAAAATGAACATTTTTCCAATACCATACATTTTTCTAGGGACTAAATTTTTCTAAATCTGGAATCTTAAAAAAAAAATCAGGGATCTAGAAAAGTTTTCAAAATCCCACATGTTGACTATTTTTCACAGTTTCATATTGTTGGAAAAAAATCCAATCCTGTTTTTTTCTTCAAAATCTAAAATAGATTTTCATAAGTCACAAATCTCTAAAAAAATATAATATTCTATTCTATTCTAAACACATGTCAAAGCCTCAGAATCATACAAATACATTTGTTTTTAAGATTTAGAATAGTACAGATCACGATACTTTAAAAAAAATTTCTTGCTCCGTATCAAATTCAAGGTTTTTAAAACTATTTCTTAATATAATATCTTCCTCTAAAATTCGGTATAATGACCCACTCAGGCCACTAGCGTTCGGATGCGACCTTACAATAATTCATAACTCTGCTACTTTGTATATTCTGGCGCTTTACAATCATAAGAGGACTCGAGTCTAAAAAAAGTTATTCAAATTGTACCTTGAAAATAACGTGATTTTGCAATCAATATTTTTTACTAAACGGGGAAATGGCTCTAATGTTGGCCTATGGATCTAAGATTGGGCCCATCGCTAAAAATCTGCTATTTATCAATTTTATCTAGATGAACGCGTCATTGGGACGGTACTAACGGATATTTTTGGTGGCTATTGAAAATTTAGTCGATTGCTGAATGTGTTTATGGGCCCAAATTAAGGGCATTTAGGCCGACATTACATCCATTTCCCCTACATATTAAAAAACCGGGAATATTTTGAGATTTGAACCGGAAAATCTGGGAATTTTAAAATGAAAATTTACTGGCTACCCTTCCATGTACATTTTGACTAGTCAAAACGTCCTATGTGATTTTTTAGCATTTTTAGCATGACATTCAAAGTAAAATTGTGAATTTACAGTTTCTACTCAATTTTCAACGTTAATATCCACTGTCTACGGTAAAAATAGTATTACAAAATGTATTGTTTCTAAACAATTAAAATAATAATCTGTTGAACTACAACATCGATTTTCTTAAAATTTCAGATATTTTACATTTTTACATTCTACAATAAATATTTACATGATTGACAAATATCAGGTAATCACGACATTTTGATCTTTGAAAACAACGCGCATGAGAAAAAGAGACCTACTGCGTCAGGATCTGTCATGATTATCTGAGTTTTGTCAAAAAATCGAAAATATTTACGCTGTGTGCATTGAAGAATTGGCCCTTTTGATAAGTTTCACGAGAATTATCCTTAAGAGGAAGATGAGACAACTGGCTTCTTACTCTTTTATCTATATCTAACGCTATCTCTATCTTACGCACTTCAAATCGGCCAATCACGAGCTGGTTCGCGTTTGACAGAAAAGTGGTTCGTTTTCGCCCCCGTATTGTCTTCTATTCTCTTAGGAATTATCAAGCACAAGACCTAGCACAGTTTCATCATGGACCCAAAACGTCAAGTGTTTCACCAATATAGGGTTCTGAGTTCGAAGGAGTCACGGATGCGAAGGTGAACGTAATGTTAAGATTCGCGTCGGACTCTTCGTCATTCCCTGATAAGGAATTATACGCCATACTGGGAGTTTCTTCGGACACATCGTAAGACCTATACAGGGCGGCGTCCTCAAGAGCGCCAACAACAACATCACGATAAAGTCAGGCATCATAAACAATCAGGTAAGATCTTACTAATTTTACCTATATTTTACTTATATTCGAATTAACCACCTTAAGTTCTGTGCTATCTATGAAGCGGCACAAACCCGTCTCCCTTGTCTCTTCCCTTATGACAGCTAGTTCAGTAATGTTGAGATGGGGTCTTGCCGATACGTTAGCCTACCGGTGAAGTCACTGTGGCTCGCTCTGTTTCACATTCGTGGATTACACAGAACTTATTTAACCTGCTGGTAAAGATACTGTGATGCCAGTCCTGGTGCTGTGGATGCTGTGATCGGAGACCTGGCCCTTGACCCCCTTCTATTCTACACAATCACAATCTCAAATTTAATTTTTGGTATTTCGTACCAAGGGGTGATGCACATATGCACATATCATGCTCTAAGCGGGGTGGGACGTGGGGAGTTTATGATTTTGTGACAAGCAACGCATTAGGTATAGGAAAAACGTCACTTTAGGGGGGGAGGGGGGTTAATTTTTCCTCAATTTAGAGAGACATGATAAATGGATCGTTCACAAGGAAAGTTTAGAATTGCAAGGTGAAGAAATATTCAAGATATTGGACTTAGAATTTTCATTAGCAGACTTCGATTAATAAATTCAAATCAAATTCTCGGTACCACAAACACATAAACATTTTTCCTATGCCTAATGCATTGCTTGTCACAAAATCTTAGACCCCTCCCTCCCCCCTTAGAACGTGGCATAATATACGCCAATTTGAATGTTCCTTTTTAGTCGACATCAACACATAACATAGAATAACGAGGCTCGGTAGCTCAGTGGTTACCGTTTCTGCTTACTGAGCAGAAGGTCGGGAGTTCAATCCCAGGCCCGTCCCCTTCCTTGCAATTTTTCACTTTGCCTTATTCTATACCCACTATATTTTAATGAACGTACCACGTCAACACATTCCTTCCCATTCCCTAGTTGACCTGCATTCGGACACGGCCGGCGCTGGTATTGCTAAATATTAGATCTCCAGTTCTTACACATTGAGGATGAATGTTAGTCCCAAACATCATCTGTTGGTTCTCTGTGTAATTGCAGCTGATCTGGTAATAACAGAGCCAGCAACCATGGGCAGTCAATCTGATTTTTTTTTTGATCAACACATAACATAGAACTTCGACTCATGAAGGGATCACTGTATGTATTTTGACTTTCTTGTTTGTAGCTGGAATAGCCGTTTATGCGTTTCTTACCTTGACAGCTAGATTATTCGGATCGTACCGTTGCACATGCAGTTGCCCAATCATGGTCCACACGTAGTTCGACTGGGAGTGCAGATCTGGAACCAGCGTAACATCGGTCTCCAGTCGATAGACAACTTCGCTCTTCGGCGGGAAGATATCAAACCCATCGCCACACTGGATGCTGAAGAGGACTGCGACGATCGGGAATTATAAGAGAAGAACACTTTGAACTTTCTGCAGCCAATTGAATTTGCAAATTTCGAAATTTAATTGAGCGTTTAGTCCTATCAGGCGTATTCTGTACCGCACAGCCCAACGGTCACACGAGGGTCAATGGCAAATTGCGTTAGATCGTGCACACACATGAGTCTGATTGATGACAGTAAGCGTGGCGCTAGGCGCCACCACTTGAGTCACATTTGTACACAAAACTCCGTTGGGCGGTTGATAAGTCGTAGAGAGAGAGAGAGAGAAAGAAAGCATTTTATTCTTATCAGTGACGCAGCGAGGCGTGCCGGTCGGGCGGCATCCCATCTGCATTCGTGCATACTTTTCTTCGTCACACATGTGTTTATGGTTCATTGGAGTTTCACTGATAGCAGGCAGCATAATAAGTAGCCACTCTGCCGAGTCCAAATTCTTGTGCGGTCGATGGGAAATGTTTTCATCGTTGGTGTGGGAAAGAATCTCTTCTTTCCGAGTACTGATAAGCATCCAGCTGAGGCGACGACGCTTCCTTTCGGGTGAAATGTTTTTGGTATGAGGTCATATCCGATTTGAGGACCGATCCCTCATATTCCTCCCCAACTAACAGAATATGAAATATACTAACATGCCACTAGCACTATCCACTTTCTGGATTCCATGACAACCAATCTCCAAGCTAAGCTTCGCCTCGATTAAGGATTACTCGAGTGACACTTTTCCATAGGGAGCTTCTATGCAATGTTTCACTTTCTATCACCACACACTGAGTCCTGTACACTTTGATCTTCCAGTTAAAGGATATCCAGCACTTTCACCACTTCCGGAGATAATTCACTATGGCACTTGCTTCCTGCCGAAAAGAGAACCCGATCGCGACGACGAGAAGACGATTACTGAGCAGATCGCTTCTCTGGTGAGCACTATTTATTCATTGCGCTGTTCCTTCGGGAATGATCATCATCTGGTCTGTCTGTACACTGTACTGTTGTACTGTACTGTAGAAGAGCGACACAAATTTGAGATTCAAATTTCTTCTCTCCTGGCGGGCGCGAAAGGCTGTGCTGGCGAGAGTGCTCTTGATGCCTTGAATTTCAAATTTCCTTTTCTCAGAATATTCGGACATCTACTACCTAGGAGTCGAGACGAATCAGAGTGGAGAAAATTTGCACTACGAAGGAGGTGGCGATGTCCAGCATTATAGATTGTAGCTACATCGAAAAAATAGAAAATTTAAATGTAATGCATTGGTGACGAGGAGAACGAACTACAAAAAACGTATACACCATTAATGCAATCGCATCTCCCGTCTGTCTAATGGGATGAATTCGGAATGATGTAGATTTGATCACCTAGACAGTTGAATATGTATCGATTCGGTATATTGCAGCAATGAATAAACAATGGATTTATTTATATATTAGTCTACATAAAGTGAATCGCATGCGCATAATTTTCGAGAATTCGTTCGAACCTGCAAGTTGCAAGATCAAGTCTAGTTTTGATCGCATTCGAAAGAAGTCAGCCCTATTCGCGAAAACGGGACATTTCGCCAAAAATCCATCCCGACAAGCTGATTTTACCCGAGATTTACATTATACAATCTTTGCAAAACCATGATTCAAAAGTGTTATGAGATTAATGTTTCTTTTTTTACAAGTGGAACTTCTTTCATATAAAAGTTAAGTTAAGTATTCTTCATTAGCGAGGCTTTCAGCCTGAGGCTGGTTCACCTCCGGTTTCATATAAAATTATTTCATAAAAATTGTAAAGCTTTAGGAAGTTGTTTTCCTTCTTATAAATAAGAGCAGTTCTTCCTAAATATTCTTGTAATTACTTTTGAGACCCAACATTTGTTAAATTAAAAGCTTCTGTTTCTTTTCGCCACATTTATTCAATCAGAATTGAATGATTTTATGACATTTTTCAAACATGAACAGTTCTTTCGAAATTAACTATTCTTGTAATTACTTTGTTTACCGATAATTTAATGATTTATTTAAAAAAAATATTTTTATTGAGTTGGTTCGAAATGCTATCTAACATGAAGCTTTAGAGTGATAATTTATTAGCTAGATAATGATCTTAGAAGAGGGTAAAGGGTGATACGGTCAAAATTTGGTCAATATCAACTTGACGTATTTCTTTCAATTTTGCATTTAAAAAACCTGAACACCCCTCATTTTGAAGGTGTGTGTGTGTAGAATGTTGCTCCTATTTTGATTTTGGAATTCACTCTTCAGTTGTCAAAATGCCGTCCAAGCAAGAAGAGCAGCGTATCAAAATTTTGCTCGCGCATCGCGAAAATCCGAGCTACTCGCACGCAAAGTTGGCAAAATCGCTAAAAGTTGCCAAATCAACCGTTACAAATGTAATTAAAGTGTTTGGGGAACGTTTGTCGACAGCCAGGAAGTCTGGATCGGGGGGAAATCGAAAACCGGAAGCCGCTGAGACGACAAAGAGAGTTGCCGGTAGTTTCAAGCGAAACCCTAACCTCTCTCTCCGAGATGCCGCAAATAAGCTGGGTGTATCGTCTACAACCGTGCATCGAGCCAAAAAACGAGCCGGACTATCGACTTACAAGAAGGTAGTGACTCCAAATCGCGATGATAAACAAAATACGACGGCCAAAGCGCGATCCCGGAGGCTGTACACGACGATGCTGACGAAGTTTGACTGCGTGGTAATGGACGACGAAACCTACGTCAAAGCCGACTACAAGCAGCTTCCGGGACAGGAGTTTTATACGGCAAAAGGAAGGCGAAAGGTAGCAGATGTTTTCAAGCACATGAAACTGTCAAAGTTTAAATATCTGGTTTGGCAATCCATCTGTACCTGTGGCTTGAAAAGCAGCATTTTCATAGCTTCCGGGACTGTCAACCAAGAAATTTACGTGAAAGAGTGTTTGAATAAACGTCTGCTGCCTTTCCTGAAGAAACACGATTGTTCCGTACTGTTTTGGCCGGATTTGGCATCTTGCCATTACGGTAAAAAGGCCATGGAGTGGTACGCCGCCAACAACGTGCAGGTGGTTCCCAAGGACAAGAACCCTCCCAACACGCCAGAGCTCCGCCCAATTGAGAAATACTGGGCTATTGTCAAGCGGAACCTAAAGAAGACCAAAAAAACTGCTAAGGGCGAGCAGCAGTTCAAGGCAAACTGGCTTTCTGCGGCGAAGAAGGTGGACAAGGTGGCTGTACAAAATCTGATGGCAGGGGTCAAGCGTAAGGCCCGGCAATTCGGATTTGGAAAAGCGGAAGCCTAACTGAATATTTTTCCTGAATTTTATACTAATTGAACTTGAAAAAGAAATTTAATTTGATTTTTTAAATAAACGATTTTACCGATTTACACGCGTTTTCCCTTGACCAAATTTTGACCGTATCACCCTTTAGGTGGATAGTTCCGTTAAAGTACGCTAGTATGAAAATTGAAAAGAAGTTGAAAATGACCGAAGGGTCATTAATGCGAAAGTACAAAGTCAAACACACACCTTCCCTAATAAATATTGTATGGTTAATTTGCTTAACGACGTGTTCTGGGTATCATCCAAACCATTTGTGGAATAGTTCAATGATTTGAGTTATCGTTCGTTTATGGTTATTTTTTATTAGGGTTTTGCCTAACCCGTACGATGTACGAGGAGATTTGAGGTATGTCTTCAAATCTACAGGCAAAAAGTGTGCGCCCGCCTTTGCTCATTACTGTCTGCGCGGCTGTGGAATACTTCTAGCGACGTTTCATCACTACCTAAAGCCCCACGTTGCCGAAAGCATTTCCAGTCGATGGTGTGTTATAATGCAATTCTTTTTTACCCAACTCTTTTCATGACCAATGGCTAACGGAATACTCTAACAGAACTATCCACCTACCCTCTTCTAAGATCATTCTCTAGCTAATAAATTATCACACTAAAGCTTCATATTGGATAGCATTTCCAACCAACTCTGGAAATCACAAACTTCGCGTATGAAGTAACATAAAAAAACACTTTGAATGTAACAACTCAAGGCGGGAGTAGACGTCAACAATGCTGATGATGGTACAGCACGTAACAACCACCCTACTGTCTTCTCTCTGAGATGACCACATTGTTCATGACGAGAGAAGCAACACAGTAGTTCTTTGTGGTTATTGTTTTTGTTCTTTCTGGCCTTGCGGGTGAAACATGAAGTCTGCACATTGTAGACGAAATACGCGTATCTGTTAAGGATAAGCAAATAAGGTAGTGGAATTAAATGGAAATTACTAATCCTTCTCTCTCTCATTATACAGGTATTCCACTAAGACGCCCACATTCATCAGGATGAAGTTAGACTTCTTTTGAAAGGTGTTGGTTTATTTGGGTGGAAAGGGAAAATATTCTTATTTCGTTTGATTATTTATTCGTTTGTCGACATCGACATTAGCCGCTAATTGGGTTCTTTAAGGGTATTGAGGTAAATACATATTCGTAATCTGCATTATAAATAGAATCCAAATCCAAAATTTACACTGGAACTATTTTAAAGAAGTACGATTACATTTGCAAAAACTACCACCTTAGGGCCCCTCGGAGGTCAGCTGTCAGTCTGGTTGTTTAGTGTAAAACAATGAAGTTATTATTTTGCTTTAAATGTTGATTTAAAAATCGAGATAAAAGTGTATGTTTTCGAAAAAAATATCGCTGTACTCAGAAAACGAAGCTTTTTCAGATGATGATGAAAAACCGATACATTTTTAAAAATTAAAGAACCCAATTTGTTGTTAATTTATTTTTTATATGTATCCCATACATAAAAGAGTTCAAATTTCAAATTCGGCGAAATGATTCAGCCCCCTATTCATAGCTGAAATGCACTTCTCTTTACGTCACGTACGTTCTTGCCGAAGCTATAAAACATCCGACCTTCTTCGATTTTCATGAAATTTTGCATAATCCTTTGCAATTCATTCACATTTGAGCTAAAATTCGGTCATTCAAAATGACATATTCGTTATTTTTCAACAAATCATAACTCAAAAATAATACTTCCAATCAAAATGACGTCTGAGATAAAGTTGATAGAACAAATAATTCTAGGAAGGAAAAATATACAGTCCACTCTCCATACAGGGGCTGTGGTCACTCGCATAATAAGAACCATAAGAAGCGTCTCACCACCAATTCAGGATATCATCTCAACGCTATGCCGTATGGTCGCACCATCTATGATATCATTTGTTTATGGTATCCGATTATTAAGGCATGCACTTCTCAAACTCTCAGCTCTAGTTGACGTTGCTAGATCGCTGTACTTCTCTCCATTTACGCTGCAGCTCCGACATAATCAGCGTGACTGCTCTGTTGAAGGCTTTTCAAGTGCCTTCTCCGCCCACACTCCGGCAGGAGTGACGCTGCGACGATGCAGGTATTTCCTGAAGCAGTCGTGGCCAGACATGAACTGCGTTAGGTGGAAGTTTACTTCTCTGTGTTTTCGAAAAACTCGGTATTAATCTATGCGTCCATCTACCGTTCTCCGTCGTGTTCCACTCCAGTTGCCACTTAGCCAACGACTCCGCTCTAACAACTTTCCGTACTCTTCCGGCTTCTCTCCGCCTGTAGCACTCGCTGTCCTCCGCCAGGGTGATGCCGATAGGGATCATTCCGGCGATAATGCATACTGCTTCCGATGATATGGTTCTGTACGCACTCATGAGTCGCATGGCCATGAGCCGGAACGTACTGCTCAGTTTCCTTTGGTTCTGCTTCGTTTCCAGCGCTACAACCCAGACTGGACCTCCATACCTCAATATCGATGACGACACACTGGCCAGCGTTGTTCGGCATGATTCTAGCTATCGCGTTGATGGCCTTCGAAGCCATCTTAGACGTGGCTGTTGAAGTTTAACCGGTCATCGATCATCACTTCCAGGTATTTCAACGCGCGCTACGAGGCTATGGCGTGCTCCCCGACGGTGTGCTATGCACGCTGCACCGCTTTACAGTTACTGACCAATAACATCTTCGTTTTTTTGGTGGGCTATCTACAGCTTCACTCCCTACAACCCGGTTTTGAAAATAACTCCTCATGATCCTACACAGATAGTCTTTCTATGCAGCGTTTCGGCGATGGCCTCATAGCTGGCGCTGTTGAACGCATTCTTGACGTCGATCGTTATAACAACCGGTGGAAACTAACGATTTTAAATTGGCTCACTACTTGACTAGCCTATTGATCCCAAGCAAATCGATTGACGTACCCCATTCTAGTCGAAATTCCAGTACTACAATATGTTTGTTTTGATTCGTTATGAAAGTTTGACAGATAAAATGAGGGGTTCGTGGATTTTCCAATGTTTCGAGGAGTTGATCTCGTTTCTTCGGAACCTTCTGGTCTTAGAGTTACCTCTATGCCAATAACACCTCCGTTTTGTGGTGGGCTATCTGCAGTTACCAATCATGTCGATCGCTTCCGTTGCCAACACTTACACCTCTTCCAGCGTCTCGCCTGTTATTGTCAAGACGACTTCATCCGCAAAGCCAACGATCTCAACTCCTGTGAACAGCTTCAGCGTTAGCACGCCGTCGTACATCCCGTTCCAAAGCGTTGGACCAAGGAGGCCTTGTGGAACTCCCGCTGTGATAATAATCGATCTCTGTCCCATGTCTGTCTCGTAGACCAGAACCTGGTTTTGGAAATAACTCTTCGGCGATGGCCTCCCAGCTGGCGCTGCTGAACGCATTCTTGACGTCGATCGTTATAACGGCGCAATATCGATCTCCTCTCCGGTTCTGTTTGGACGCCCTATTCGCCCACAATTGATCACCCTTTTCGGAATACGAACTGTCTCTCCGTGCATTTCGTCAGTTTGATGATCCTCTCCAAGAGTTTTCCGAGTGTATCCAGCAGGCATACAGGTCTATACGATGCTGGATCCCCCGGCGGTTTTCCTGGTTTCAGCAGCAACACTAGTTTCTGTATCTTCCACCTGTCAGGGAAGTGACCCTCGTCCAGGCATACCTGGATCGCCGCTTTCCATCCGGACCGGGAGCTCTCTGCACCTTCAATTCTTTCGCAACTGCTACGAGTTCCTCATTTGTGACTTCGACGTTATTTCCCTCTCCTTCGCCGTACGGTGTAGGTGGCCAGGTCGTTGGGTCATGCTTCGGGAAAAATCCTTCCACGATGACTTTCAGCTTCTCTGGGTACATTTCAGCAAGTATCGTTGGTCCTTTGATCTTCGCCATCACGACTCGGTATGCGTCGCCCCATGGATGGGTTGGCATCAGCGTCTCTACACAGCTCCTTAAAGCAGTATGACTTGTTCTGATTTATCTCCCGTTTAAGTGCGACCCTGGCCGCTCGAAACGCTCCTCTTCGTTCTTCTCTGTCTGCTTCTCTTCTTGCTCTGATACAACTAGCGCGAAGGGTATCGGAGCGTTTGGTACGGTATGTCCACGCATCCTTCCACCTCTGTAGATTCAAGAAATGTTCCCATTCATATACAAGAATCATCTTTGCGGCAAATACAACGCAATAGGCCTGGCCGTATTGATGTTTATATCATATCTCAGATATGCTGTAAACATCAACTAGACAAGAAAAATGATACTGGCTGCGTTTGTATTAGATTAGATTTAGACAACTAGCGCGAAGGGTGCTAAGTGCCTCGTTCCACTAGTAAGCTGGACGCCGTCTATTATTTGGCTCCAGTTTCTTCGGCATGGTCGTTTCTGTCAGCTGTGTGTGTTCGTGTACCTATTATAAATCGCTACAGTCAGCATTAGTTAACAAAAACCATCTCTGCTGCAAACTGTTCCCCACATCCAATATCCTAGTGATTTCTCGTGGAAGCGCAGAGGACTTCTCGGCTTCCTTCACAGCGAGTATCACGTTAAAACATTCCTTCCCATTCCCTATTTGACCTGCATTCGGACACGGCCAGCGCTGGTATTGCTAAATATTAGATCTCCAGTTTTTACACATTGAGGATGAATGTTAGTCCCAAACATTATCTGTTGATTCTCTGTGTAAATGCAGCTGATCTGGCAATAACAGAGCAGACTGTGAGCTCATGAAAGTTCAAAATTTATATTTCGTTTTTTCTATATCCAGGATCTTGATTTTTCATTGTCCAGGATCTCCTCTGTTGGAATCATCCTGATAACATTGGAACTCTACAGGATTTATTCAGTATTTTCAGTATCTCAGAGTTCAGCTTAGATCTCTTTCTGCACTGATTATTCATAAAATGTATAAGTCAACAAGCAGACGCCTTGCAAAAAGTCAATGAAGATCATGTGTCAAATGAAATGTATAAGCGGTCATACATACCTTTTATGCATTCTTATAGGACCTATGTAGTTTGTCTTATGGAATGTATAAGGCTGATGTTTTGGCAAAAATGTATAAGTGAAACACATAGATAAAATAATTGATTTTCGTTTCGTGTATGGGAATGTTGTGGTAAAATGACGTCGTCACTTGAGTGCTCAGCAATGTTTACAATATTTTTGCTTCCAACATAAGCAAGCTGCCTGTTGGCCCAGACCTTGCATTATCGTTTAAACATTACATGAAAATCCATTCTAATTATAGTGGACGTAAGATAAACAGTCTCCCCTATTCTGCGAGTCATGGCATGGCATTCCAAGGCAGTTTGTTTTGAATCCGCTCCTCTCTTATACTAGACCCTCTCTAATATGGACGAACGCTACCTATGTTTTCACGTACATCGGACGTGCATATTTGTTGGAGTGTAGCATCATGGTATCACCGCTTGCATCTTCTCATCAAATCCTCGATAGTATAGTGGTCAGTATCCCCGCCTGTCACGCGGGAGACCGGGGTTCAATTCCCCGTCGGGGAGGAATACTCTTTTACACACGCTCACTTACCTTTAATTCTGCCGCAATCATCAGCACTCAGCACGACGTTCACTGATCTTATCATTGAAATAGAAACGCACACGCCTGAAAAGAAGACATCATGGGAGGTTTAATTTCGGAATGCCTTAGTGAAAAATTACAGCACACACAATCTCATTATAGGTAATTTTTGTAATCTTACCTTTTCACGATTTTTTCTGACTCTGACAATTAATCACTAGGCGGCATAGTTTATCCCTATCGAGTTATTTGATTTTGCATATAATAGAACTCTTCACGCAATCACGGATTTCTGCTTTTCAATATAAAGTTCTATGCGTAAACTTATAAATAAAGATAGAGAAACTAAATCGATCAAATACAACACGGGCTGTAGGAGTAATCTGGATACTCGTACCTACAACCCACATCTGATCTGACTATTTCTCGACTGCAACGTTGAAAAATCAAAGGTGAAGAAAGGTGCTGCCGCGAACTGTTCGAAACGAATGCGTTTTCCGTACGTTGAAAAACTTCTAGGGTTTAAACTTGTTTTTTTTATGAATTCGATCAGTCTTATTTAACTTTAAACAAGTTAGTTTTTGTTCAAACGGCGCTGAAGAAGCTTTAGTAGGTAGATAGAAGTTTGTATTGTAATCATTCTTATTTTATCGCTCGTTATATTAAAAATAAATGTCTATAAGCTGCTACATAGAGTTTGCTGTTGCTCTCATTCGATGTTGTTGTGGAATGAAAGGACGAAAATCAAAAAGAGCGTGTGCTATGTCTCTTCGAAAGGGTGGCAGTTTATGAGTGCGCTCTATATCTGCGCCGTTGTAGGTTACTTGTAACATTTCTTTTTCCCTAAAATCTAACAATGATTGAAACTTACAAAACTACGAAACAAGAAACAAATTTACAAAAGGTGAGCTGTACAACTTCTTATTGGGAGGAATTTGGGCTGGGGTGCCAACTACTTCTACTGCGACTACTGTTCCCGGAATATTTTCCTCGCCTTCGGGTTGATTCGCCGCACCCGACCGCGGCTGCTGACACTGGTTAGGGCTTCGTTATCTTCACTGTTCGCGTCACTGTCCTCTTCGCCGTGACTGCCATCGCCATTGCCGTTCTGGTGGTGTTGGCTCCCTCCTCCGCCACCGAACAAGGCCGGTCGTTTCGACCGCTGCCGGCTGGTTGGATCATCATCATCGCTGTCCTCGTTGTAGTGTGGTCGCTTCAGCTTTCGGGTATTTCGCACCGTTGATGGACCGGGACCCTGTAGAATCGGACATTCGATTATTTTTGATCTTGCAACAAATCTAAGCACACTTACCCCCAAATCCTCCTCGGATGAGAATCGTTCTTTTTGTCGCGTACGACTACTGATGCCTCCTCCTTCCGATTTTGCTGCTGCAGGTCTACTACTGCTGCTTCTACTGCTTCCGGTCGGCATTTGAGGTCGAGTGCTTCTAGATTTCGAGGTTGCAGCCAATGGGACATTATCCGAGTCATCATCCGTGCTGTCAACAGTTGCTTCCTCTTCTTCCGAATCGACTTCCTCCGGATCACCGACAAACTCCTCGTCGGAATCCTCTTTCTGTGCTTCCTCATCGGACGTGGCAGATGGCTTTTTTCGCTTGGCCGGCGAATTGGTTTTGCTTCGCAATCGGGAACTGATTTGAGTGCAAGCACGTGGTCTTAGCGGTGCGTCATCATCGCTTAACTCGTCATCATCGTCGTCGCTGTGTTCCTCCGGAGTATGATCCAATTCATCGGCGTTTCTTTGGTGACGCGACAGCTGTTGCCGATTGCGTGTCCTACGGGACGAAGGTTCCCCATAGTTGTGGTCTACGGTGTGAGGTGGTGGCGTTACGGAAGGTTCACTTCGAGAGATATTTCGTAACCGCCGGTTGCTGGGGGGAAGGCTTTCCGTTTTTCTAGGAGATTTGACAGGTCCATTAGTGCGAATCATACGGGCCCGCGAAGGAACAGAGGAACTTGTACTGGGTTGTTCAGGAGATTGCAACTGTGAATGTTGATTGTTGTCGCTTTCGCTTGCGATCCAATTTCGTCCTCGACTACTAGTCGGCACTGCTGCTGCTGGAGCCGCTCGTTGCGACGAACCACGTTTGCTGATATTGCTCGTCTCTTCGGGGCTATGTTCCGGATCGGATGTACGATTGCGGGGACGCATCCTTCGACTAGATGGTTGAGAATTCGATGGTTGTTCGTCATCATCTGGCGGTTCCAGACTATCTTCGCTTCTGCCCCATTCAGCTTGGGCCCTCCGGGTGGTTCCCCGGGTGGATCGTGGTGATTCTTCTTCATTATCAGAATCCGAAATAACCCGTGCGGTTTTCGGACGAGCCATATGATAACTATGATCCGATTCGTACCGTTGATGCCGCTTCAGAGGTTTTCGTCCGCTGCTTGGGCCTTCACCAGCATCTTCTTCTTCGCTGTCGCTTCCAGTGTTGTTCCGGGCACTTCGCAGCGTAGTTCTTCGACCACTTCCACTTGCTGCACTACTACTCTTTGGTTTATCGCTCTCCCGTTCCCTGTTGTTGCGCTCTTCTCGATTTACTTGATCATCTAATCTGTAGGTCGGCCTAGATGGGCCAGGCGCTTCTTCCAGAGCAGCAATGGTTCCATTTCTTGGCCTTTGCGATTGTGCTTGTCGGGCGGGTAGGAAATGTTCCCCTCTGGATTCGCTTGTACCAGTGGGTTTTTTTCTCGGTGTAGACGAACTAACTGCACTCTTAGCAGAATTCTTCTTTGCCTTCTTCGGTTTGGCTTTCCTCCGTCGTTTCTTCTTATGCGGATCATACATCTCCCCTGAATCGTATCCCCTTTTGTGGGACACTGGAACTCCGGTACTGTCTTCACTACTGTCACTAGAATCACTGGAACTTTCAGTCTCACTACTGCTGATAGTCGCTTCATCGTCTTCCGCTTCCTGAGATCGTCGCGTGACCCGACTTGAAGATGCTACCGTTGCTGTTGCTGATGCAGCTGCTGCTGCTGCTGCTGTTCGACTTCTACTCGGTCCTGGTTGTGGCTCCATAGCGATTGCGTTACTACTGGATGAAACCCCGTTCGATCCTCCCGCTGGTACCCTCCTGGACATAATCGTTCCATTCCTGGTTGGCCGTCTTGGTGGACCCGCCTCGTCGTCATCATCATCGTCGTCGTCGCCATCATCGTCCGAATGGTGTGACCGGGCTGAAGCCCCACTCGTATTTTGACTTTGATTAGATCGTCGACTGGATGACCCTGCACCACCACTGCGACTGCTACGGTCCTCGCGACGACTCTTTGGTGCTCCACTGCCACCGGATCCACCGGCACCTCCTCCTCCTCCTCCGGTTCCACTTCCTCCGACTCGCTTGGCAGCGTTCGCCTTGCCACGCCTTCTTGCCGATTTCCAATTGTAGATGATCGGTTTGATGTGGGCCTCGAACAGCGTACTCAACCGAAGGGTCATCGAGTAGATCTGGGGTAATTTGTAACAATTAGTAAAACTATAAACTACCGGAGAATTAGTGGTCTCAGAAAACTCACCCTCGACCGCTTGTTTGTGTTGTAGTTGCGTGAGTTCTGGAATATCAGCTTCATATCTTTGCAGAAGTCCACCGGCGATTCGTAATTTCCTCCCAGTAGGTCCTCCTTGATTGTTCTCAAGTCCATTGGCGTATCGACGATTTGCAGGTAATCTACAACGTTTCATGTAATGCGTAACTCATCAAAGATCTATTTCGGAGTTGATTCGAGCTTACCTGGATGCTGAAGAGTATCGACCGGCTCCCGGAATGGTTCTGAATCGTCACACTGCCAAACCATCTCCAACAACTCACGACAATCCACACGCCAGTCGCCTTCGGGAACCAGTCGACGAGATCTGCGAAGAACAGAGAAAGTATTGGGTAATCATCTGGTAAAACTGACATTAGCCACACTATCGGACATACCTTCTGGAACCAGCGAGAGGACGTCGATTGCTGCTGTTGTTGTTGCTGCTGCTGGTGGAAGGTCCCGGTCGGTTGCTATCACTATCCGAATCCGACGAGAGGTACGTATCCACCAGCTGATGGTACACGGCAGGAACGTCCACGTCGTTTATATCCCTGTGACGGAGAAATACATTTAATCCTTCTTCATCCAGACCATTTAACCGAGTAAACCTACCCCAATATCCTCAAACACAAATCCGTCACGATTCGAGCGTGCTTGACGATGTTGCTATGAGACTCGTTGAACTTTTCCGCATTTGTGGCCAGGTAGCGTACGTCGAACTGGGCCGACGTGATGCGTCGGTAGAAGTGATTTTCGAACCGTGCCTTGATTGTGTTCAAATCGATTGGATACTCCACGACGAAGGCATATTCCGGGTAGATGTTGAGGTCCACTGGTGCCAGGAATAGATCCGCTATGGCGAGGCCCATTACCTAGGGAAAGGAGCATTTCCTATTAGAATAAAGAAGTTCAAACCCAGCACTTTAAATTACCTGTTCCAATCCGGCAATGATCCGCCGGCAGGATGCATCACGGTCACCCCGTGGCCATTCTTCCGGTTTCGGCTGGTACAACGTAGCCCGGAGCTCCTCGGGCAAAACGGGAACAGCACCACCGACTTCCACCGGCAATCGATTCTCGTCTATCGGTTCCAAATCCCACGGACTCATAAACTCGTACTCCCCATTGTCCCATCGAACGCGGAAGCACATGAACAACGAATTCGGAAACTCCGATGACAGTTGATTGAGAGATTCGATCTGACCCAACCACCAGACGTCTTCGATCATACAGCGGAAGCGATCCCCTGGACCCCAATTGCGTCGGACGGAGGTAGCGAACGTCTGCTTCGGTACTAAGAAATCCAACACGTCCGGCATGTCGTGATACTTGATGACAAACGAACGACCCGTTGATACACTGTCCTGGGTCAATATAGCCAACTTCAAGCAACAGAGTCGGGGAGGACGAATCTCGTACTTGATACCGATAACCTTGCAGAGTTCGTGATCGCGGAGATCGATCGAACCCCAAGGTTCGCACTTGTTGCCAAGGTTGTAGACATTTTTCGTCCTCACTGCGTCCAGATATCGAGCGTGCCCTTGGCGAAAGTAGACCACTTCGTCACCCATCTGAGGGTAGTACGGCGCCTTTCTCGGTATAACTTCCGAAAGCCATTCGGGCGGTCGGAACGGCTCTGGGATTTCTCCGTCTCGAGTGATCGGAATTTTGCGAACCTTCGGACGGCGGCCACTGCTACTCGATCCAGGTTGATCGATTTCCGGCGGCGAATAGGCTCTCCGTTGGACGTGTTTACGTTTGGATCTCTTTGGTGGCTCCAGATTTCGTCCCGGTTCGTGCGATACCCAGTCGGAATAGTCCGTACTGTCCGTATCCGAGCTGGACGATCCCGAGAGATCCAACTCTTCCTCGATGGCCGTGGAATCATCACTGTTACTGCTTTCGGACGAAGAGGATTCTTGCTGCTCCGGAGCTGCTTCCGGTTCAGGTTCATTATCGCGTACTGCTCGGGTACGGTAAGCTGGCTGCGGTTGTCTTCCATTGGCTTCTCCATTTGGCTGTGAACGTCGAACCGTACGATTGTTGTTGCGTCCTCCCGAACGTCTGTTGGCTTGACTACTGTTGGAGTTGCTGTTGTTCGATGTATTGATCATAAGCGGACGGCGCCGCATCTCCCGTCGGTATTTTTCATGTTCCTGAAGCCCGGCAGCGTAGATCCTTTGCTTCAGCTGTTGCAGGTTGGAATGCTCCATTTGACATACGTACTGGCGGCGATGGAATTTGAAGGCCACATCACGGTGCCAATTTCCAGAGAATCGCTGCACCCCTGGACGACCATTCTGGCGATTTACATCGTTCGGTTGATTCTCGCCGTTCCTGGCACGGTTGGGATCATTATTAGAGTCAGGAGCCTGTTCGCCACCTTCTGGCCCAGCTTGACGATTCGCCAGTGCTTCAATCATCCGATCAATGTTGGAATACGCGGTACCATCCTGCATCACTTCACCGTCACCTGCACCGATAGCAATGTTCGGAACCAGCTGATCCGTTGGACAGTTTTCCCGTCCCGGAACCAACCGTTGCATGCCTGGAGGATACGGATTACCATCGATGTCCACCAGGAACGGTGGTGGCATCAAATGCGGCATGGTTTGTGTTTGTTCGTCCATCACATGATGAGACGAGTCCCGTATCAATGGGCGATAATCTGTATGGAAAAATAGCTCTTTTGGTAGCTGCTTTAACCTCTCATGACCGGATCCGTATCCGAACATCAAAATATGACCATGGGAATCTGTTGCAGCGATCATATTTCCATCCGGAGACCATTTGGCATCGAATATTCCTCCATCTCCCTGACCATCGATGTGATTCAGAAAATTAGCCAATGAAACTCCCTGCACGATGTCCCAAATAAACAACTGACCATCGTGTCCTGCCGACAGCAACACTCCCGAATCCTTCTGATGTGATTCCAGAACGTAAATCTCGTTTGTATGCCCACGTAACACTCTATGCAACTTCGCCGTGTGAGCATTCCAGATCTTGATGGTAAAATCATTTACCGCCGTTATCACCCAATCATCGGTATTGTCCCACGAAACCATCGTTACCTTTGGCTTCGTGGAAATTTCTTCCGGCGTCTGCGGTGGACAGCTTGGCAATCGCTCGGTCATATTCAAACGCGTTGATTTCCATTGCTGCGTCTCAAAGTGCCACAGCAGTGCCGTACCGTCCTTGCTGCCGGAGATAAACTTCAATCCGCTGTGTGCCCACTGTATCGAATCGACCGTATCCGAGTGGGATTCGGTTTCCAATATCCGCTTCGGTCCATCTTCCGACATCAGGTACACTCGAACGTGATGGTCGGCCGATCCGGCAGCGAGGAATATTCCTCCTGGTGAAAACGAAGCACAAATCATCTGCGCCTGACCGGGTCTCAACTTTTCATGGTACATAACTGGCTTGGCATTGAAATTGGCCTTTCCACCGCGGGTGGTATATTCCCAAAATGCCACCGACCCGTCCGTGCTGGTCGTCACCAGGTAGCGCAAATCAGCCTTAGGTGACGGACAGAAATTGACCGACGTAATCATTCCCGTATGTCCGGACAGTACAGCGATCGGTCCGCCGTACTGCAAATCCCAAACGCGTAAAATCCTATCCAGGGATCCCGCTGCCAGCATGGTATTGTCCAAATTGATGGCAATATCCGTAATCTCAGCCGATGCTCCGCGGAACGTTGCCAGCAGTCTTCCATCGATTGCACTCCACAGCTTCACCAGCAGATCATCTGCTCCGGTGATGATGTATTTTCCCGACCGATCGAACAGGACGCAATAGACTGCCGACAGGTGACCCAGTGTTCTTCGTTGAAGGGTCTGTTTCGAAAAGAATGAAGTAGGAACTGCCTGTCGACGAATCAGCGGGCCGGCGCTTTCCCGGCCGTACAACACTTTGACAATGTTGTGAGTATTGTTCCGGTGGACCGCATCGGCCAACGGCATGTGATGTATCCGGGCATAATAGTCGACCAGTGGTCGTGGACAGGTCACGCTTTTCTTGGTCCTCAGAACACTTTGACGGCCCGCTCCGAGCAGCGACAGAACTCCCGGAACGGCCGGAGCCAGCTCTCGGTCCAAAAGTGGTCCAATACGGGAACATAAATCCACCAGGTGCTGCGGTCCGACATGAGGATATTTGCGTTCCTAAAATCAGGCAAAACAATGCATCATGTTAATAATGAGAGGTACACTTCGGATTACGGAAAGGTGGTCCGTTGCTCGCATTTTTTTGACCTCAGCCCCCTAGCATGCAGAGCCATTTGTGTTTTTTTTTTTTTGTTATACGAGGTGAATGGAAATGCGTCCAACTCGGGTGTGTCGGTATTGGTGACGAAGATTCACGGGAGACCAAAACAAACATAACAATTCGAGCAGTTTTTTTTTTATTCGTTCATATGGAAAGGTGGACCGAGACGGAACGAGTTTTGCAACGTCGCGTCTCACTTTGTTTTCCCAATATTAAATAAATTTTATGGTGTGGTGAGTATGCACAAAAAATGCTGCGTTGACGAACATGCTCAGGATCATAAGGCCAACTAAGTAACAGAAAAATATACGCTATACATATTATACTGTCATGGTGCGAGTGCATGGCAGCTGCTGGTGAGAAAAATAGAATTTGAATATCTGACTCATTCTTGTGCTGATTGCTGCTCGGTGCACACCATTCAGATGGTTTTCAGATTTCAGGTATAAGTAGAGGTCTGGTCAAGGGATATCTCGTGTTGGCGAATTTCTCGACTTCCCCGGGCATAGAATAGCATTGCACTTGCCACACGAAACAGTTGAGAAGAAGAAGTATCTCCACCTATTTAGTAGAAATTAACAAATAATTCATATAATTGAACATAAGATTTGTTTCCACAAAAAGTAATCGAGTTTACACCAAATAGTTTTAGGTCTCTTCTGTTTTTTTTACGACCCCTCTAAAGTTATCAAAAGATCAATTTCTTGTTACTAAAAAAAAGAGTCCTCAGGTGGGATTTTGGGTCACAATGATATGCGAACTTTTTATACTACCTTGAGGTAGCAGCGGACACTTTGTGAAGAGACCCTCGAGGAAGCTAAGGAGCTCTGGGAAGTTCAAAAGGGGCCCAAAAAAGATAATGTGTGCACAGTTCATCAAACTTTCATTATTTGTTCACAAAATATTCCTTGGAAGATCTCCAAACTATCCAACATATCCAGAAAATATCCATCAAGCTTGCTGAACACAGCAATAAAAATCAAGTCGCTTCCCAGGCAGAAGAACTTCCTACAATGATCCTCTGGAATATTTATTTTCTTTTTTTTTATGTTCGATGGCACTTGGCTCCGTACCGTTTTTCTAAAAGACAGCTGAGCCTAACTAAATAACCAATTTAAAAACGTACATAGGTTCTATAGATTAGCTTGGGATGTATTGAATTGCGTAGAAGCTCAAATTATGTTTATTCTTCGAGTGCATTTTATCGAAGAATATATATCAAGAAGACTGGCAACTATTCCATTTTCTCAAACGACCGGTATGAGGCAGGCACAATCGCGATTTGTATCCTAAAACTTCACTTATAGTTAAAACATTTTCAAAAATTCACTCTGTATAATCATGACTTTAAGTGAAGTTTAAGTATATATAATTTGAAAAATATATATTGAGCCAAACCTACCCACGAAATAAGTTTCATTCAATACCTTTAAGATGACCTTTAGATTTTTGATTGTTTTGTTTTTTAGTTGATCCCAAACTTTTGATCTGGAGTGTGTATTCAGACTATGGTTGTCAATCGATAGCCGTCGATAACAGCTGTAACGCAAATTCACCATTGCAGACGTTAACGCAGATGTTACCAACGGTTGTCGATTAACAACCCTGCTGTTAATTTGTATTTCTCCGCCTATCTCTTGCTCTGATACGTACGTTATTGCTATTGAATGTGAACAGTTCACATTCAATAGCAATAATTGATACCTAATCCACGTAGAATTTACGTGATAGTAGGGGTAAGAGGGGCATAGTGAACAGGTGGGACATAGTGAGCATCCCGTGCACCAGCTTGGACTTCAGGCCGTTCGGAACAAATTGGTTGGTGGGGTAGTAGGATCAATATCATAATGATATTGAACCTACTACCAGTTGATTTGTTTCATGCAGCTGGAGATCCCGAGCCAAACTGCGGGATCCTCACTATGCCTCTCATCCCCATACTTAAATGTCGAACGAAATGCAGAACAAAAATACGGCCTGCAGAGTTCTTTTCAAAATTGTTTAGATGAATTACGGGATGTTTTTAAGATCCCCAGAAATTTTCTCCATTTTACTATACTCTTCGAATTTTTCAAATTTCGTTGCTCTTTGATCAGAGAGCGTATAGGGCGTCGTTGTGCCAATTTGGTCGTGGTACATTTCGAGTATGAGAGAGTCAATTGCAGTTAGATCAAAAGTGCCAAAAAGTACTTTCGCGGATTACCCGAAGTTGCGATAGTTGATCACAGACAAGCAGACACAACCCTCTTAAAATGTTCATCGAAATCGCTTTTAACGCTCAATTTAAATGTTTCTTAGTTGGTAGAACCGCTACTTGTAGCGCACAATAAATTCCCTTGCGTTTGACGTTTACACACTACAATGATCGGTTGAGTGTATAAGACAGATGGCGGAAGTGTTTACAGAAATGTTCAATGTAATGTGTCTGTTTGTCTGCGTTATAATATTGAGGTAACGTCAGGATAAAATCAAAACATTGATAAATATAACGCATCACTTCCAGAAATACTTCACTTCGCAACCGATGAACCATTCTGACGGCCATGAGTACCCAAGTAACTATATAGTCGCAAGATAGCTTGAATATACTTACTTTGCTTGAGTATAGTTAGTTGGGGAATACGATGAAACTATCGTTTCTTGAAACTAATCCCTTTCGTATTTCTTTCATTCTCTTTTCGCACTTTGCTTATAACACCATCTCATACTAATCGCCACATTGTTTCAATGACGTACGGAGCGCTCATTCCGAGTGCTCGGTGGGCCAGCGACCATGGCAATACAGTGACAGATGGTGGACATGAGATTGACCACACCAACCAGCGAGGAAGGAGTCAACATCGAACCAGGAACGGAAATTAGTGCGAATTTATCTCTCTACAAAAACAAGAAAAACCCGGAAAAGACGGAATCATGTCAGAACCAACCATGAACGATTTACGGAAGGAAATTGCCAGTGAAGTACGGAATGAAATACGAAGTGTTAGAGAAAAAGTACAAGGGATTCCAAAAGAAGCAATCAATGCCGGCAGGCCAGCGAAACATGGTGAGACCAGGCCAATTATTCTTTATAAATTAAATATCAAAATTAAACTAAATACGCACTAGGTTTGAAAAGAATATTTTCGAACGTAGAAGTGTATTTTTTTTATTATTATAGACGTTTTAAACCAACGGGTTCATTCGCCTCTAGAGAAGAGTGTATGTAATACACATGACGTTTCAATAACCTCAATCTACCTGGGCACCAACTGAATCTTTGTCATTGACGAAAAAATGAATAAGATTTTGACAAAGGTTTTTTGAGGATCAAGTCTATCATTGACTCCCTCAATCGGCATGAAAACAACAAAACCATCCAGAAATTAAATGATAGAAGAGCCCTGAAACTGCCGAAATCATTAACCCATTAATCGCATTAATCCGTGAATTATAAAGCACCAAAATATTAAAAGAAGTGAGATTTCGTTAAGAGCTTTGTATATAAAATGAGTATAAGAAAAGGTCAATGCTTCTGACTAAATTGTCTGAAATTCCACGACCCACCTAAGGGCAACTTGTGACCCATAGGTTGAGAAACGCTGACATAGATAATTAATCTTATATTAAAAAATGTTACTAAAAGGCGCAAAAAAAACAATATTTTCAAAATCCGTTCGGTTTTGACACGATGCCCGATTTCTTCTGTCAACAATCTCTCTCGAACGGAATCAAGGGTCAACTTATCTTCATCAAGGTTCTCCAACGCTGTAACTACCGGGTCGAAACCGACTTCTTGTCGTAGATTCCTTCCAGAGTGCTCCAAATTTCCTTGGCCGAATCAAATCCAGTAAATCATCGTGGATGAAGGAGATTATCACATTCGTTGCCCTTTCCATCAAAACTTCGCGGCATCAACCGCTACGGCCTTTGAAATTCCCGGTTCAAATCTTAAAAATTTGTCGGTTGTTGATAATCAATAAACAACGAAATTGTACGCATTTTTTAAACCTGGCCAACTGTAAATTTTCAGTGATTATGTGTGGGAAAAATAAAAGCCAAATTACAAAAAGTATTTTCTAAAGCTATAGGAAGAATTCAACACTATGAGTCACTTAATGTATTCAAAACAATTTTTGATCCTTCTAGATAATTTGATAAATCAAATTCTACCATTTTTTATGCTCGATACATCTTATGATTTCAAAGCCCTAGAATTTATTGAGTAACAGAGATTAAGGTCACTGGGTCAAACGCTATCTGGATGAATAGGTTATAAGACAAAATTGTGAGGAATAAGAGATTTAATTTTAAAAAATGTTTCAGTAAAATGAACTTGATACTAATGAGAATTAGAGCAAATTGATAGTGATATCGGATAAAGAAAATGTGTATTCACTCCATCAGTGTTGGCTATCTCTTTTTAATCTTAACCGATGGCAGACGCGAAGGGACTGCTGCAAGCCGTTATGGAAGTTTCGGTTGCATTCGGGTGTAAAGCAAAAATCATTTAACTCAATCTCACCACAGTTTGGTGAGATTTGCAGTTGGTGAGTTTTATTAGCTTGATATTTCGAGCTGCGATATCACAGCTTGCAAAATCAACCGCAGTAGTTTACTTCGACAGTGAGCATGCATAAGGGCCTATACGCGATGATCGATTCTCTTCGTCGATTTTCTCTTTTGTTAATAACTCGCTAGATTTAACGTTTATCGGTGCGTTTGCTGTTGCTTTTGATAGCCAATACAACCTGTTACTACTCTGCATTGAACAAATTCTAGAAAAATGTTTCGCTTAGCTGTAGCAATGCAAAGAGAAAATCGATGTAGAGAATCGATCATCGCGTATTCGCCCTTATGAATGCTCACTGTCGACTTGTTGATTTTTGTCTACGAAAATCAAGCGTGATCTTGGGCG